CAACAGCTTGTCTCCTCGGCAAAGTCAAGGCAGCTTACTTTTGATCGCGCTTTCGCAAACAGCCCATTTCCTTATTCCACGTCCAAAAGATTAAATTCCCTTCTCGCCCCTCCTCTCACCCTTCCTTAATCGCCTTCACGTCGACCTTCGTATCGGATCGCATGAGCTTCGCGACGAAGTGTCGCAGCACGCCGATGAGAATCATCACCACCGTCAGCGGCACCAGCACCCACTCGCGAATCTGCGGATCTAGCACGAGATTCCCCATCCTCGTTATAGTGTCACCACTTCAAGAACAGTGCAGATGATTCCGCCCGTCGTTACCAATTGCGAGGTCTATCTCTCCTCGCCTCAGCGAACAAGACCGCCTAACTCCTTAGAGAGACTGCTGGTGTCTGCTCCCTAATCCGACCTAAATCCTACAAGCTTTGGTTCAGGCTGACTGAGTTGGCTTGGGTTCGAGATAAGCAGGTGTAATAACGAATGTTACGGCTGGCTTTCTTTGCAAAACGAGATGTACTACAAAATGTAAGGACTAATGCAGTAATGTGGAGACCACACTTGTGTGAATTTTGAAGACTCGGAGCAATCCCTTTACGAGGTGTCTCGATACATTTCCAGTTTTTTTGTAACAGCGTATGTAGCTGAAATAACTTCAGCGCCTTTCAGAACAGAACCCGGTTCAGCGGAACCCATCTCGTACGCGTTACAGCCACAGTCAAGATCCGCTTCAAGCCCGAGGCAGTAGCCCCTGTGTAGGGGCCGCCGGCGTCGGCGGACCTACGGCGTCGGCGGACCTACGGCGTCGGCGGACCCGATCGTGTGGATATTGATCGCGTTTAGGAATGGACGGCTCAGGACATCCCACGATGCAGACTGAGATAGCATGAATACATTGTACGCAGTTTTTGTACAGTATACCGTACTGTATAGTGCCGCTGTAGTACAGTCCGCAGTCAAGTCCGATTGCCATCACAAATCCTCTCCTGGAATTTTCACAGTGTCAAGCCAAAGACCTACCAGCTAAAGCTACTAAGCAGCGCGCATTCGCAACTGGAAATGTGATTCGAGCTAAGATTCTCGGACCCGCCGCACTCTTCTTGCGGTGCGCTTTCAGAGCGCCGCTCTAATCGAGAAATGATTGCTACTGGCGAAACTCACCGCCAGATTACAAAACCCATCGTCGGGCTAAGAAGGGTTCTCGGAGGTTTAAGAAACGTCTTACAACTCGCCGACTGCCACTCTCACACCGCCTCTCCGTCGCTCTTCTCGTCTTTGCTTGGCTACTTTCCCCCTGCGCCAGCCAGCCCCCTGGCGGAGGCGGGGGGCTACCGCCGGGGCGTGGGGGCGGAACGGGGGAGGGACTGGCGGAACCCCCGAGCGGGATGCCGCCTGGCGGAGAGGAGGGGCAAGGTCCGCCTGGCGGAAGTTGGGGACAGGAGCCCCTTCTGCCTGACGGAGGTGGGGGAAACGGCCCCCTTCCGTCGGGTGCAGACGGGGGAATCGGGGAAGCGGCTGGGGAGTCTATGCCCGTAAATGTGACGGCGGAACAAGGTGGGGTGTTGAAAAGGGGGGGTAAGGGGGAAAGGGAAAAAGGGACGGGGGAGGGGGAAGGGGGAGTGGGAAAAGTGTGGAAGGAGGGAGGGGGGAAGAGCGTTGGGGAGGGAAGAGCGGTGTGGGGAGTGCATGGAAAGGTGTGCGGAAGAGCATGGGAGCGGGTTTTAAGGCTCAACAGGAGCTACGCGGTGAATCCTGGCAGTGTAGTTTTGAGTGCATCAAGATTAGAACCCTGGTAGTGAGTGCATTTCCCCTACCCCTTCGCACATCTCCCCTTCTCCCGCTCACATCTCCATCCATCTATCCCGCTCACATGTCCGCACACATCCCTCCTCCCCTTCTCACCCCTTCCCATCCCTTCCCATCCCATCTTAGGCGAAATCCTGAGGGCGTGTGGCGAAGAGATGGGGTTACCAGAGGGCATGTGGTACCCTGGCGTGCCCTGCACCCCAGTGTCGACCATCAAGTGCGGGACTGACGGCAATGCCATCGGCATGTGAGTGGTGTCAGGGGCATGTGAGTGGTGTCAGGGGCATGTGAGTGGTGTCAGGGGCATGTGAGTGGTGTCAGGGGCATGTGAGTGGTGTCAGGGGCATGTGAGTGGTGTCAGGGGCATGTGAGTGGTGTCAGGGGCATGTGAGTGGTGTCAGGGGCATGTGAGTGGTGTCAGGGGCATGTGAGTGGTGTCAGGGACATGTGAGTGGTGTCAGGGGCATGTGAGTGGCAGTTGAGAATTTGCGAAAGTATTCAGTGCACCCCACAGTCGTCCATTAAGTGTGGCACTGACAGTAATGCCATCGAAATGTGAGCTGTGTGCTGGGAGGAGTAATGCCATGGCCCATGGGCATGTAAGTGACTTATGAGAGTTCGCAAAAGTGACATTAATGCCCTTCCCCCCACCCCCGTCCCCATCCCCTTCAGAGTCCTACACGAGAGGGCTCTTTCTGGATCCATCTGCTCCAATATTCTCCTCCTCACTTCACCATCCCTCACCTAACCTCTCACTCCACCCTTATTCTCTCTACCCCTCCCCCGTTCCCATCCCCCCTAGAGTCCTACACGAGAGGGTTCTTCCTGGATCCATCTGCTCCAATATTCCCCTCCTCACTTCACCATCCCTCACCTAACCTCTCACCCCACCCTTATTCTCTCTACCCCTCCCCCGTTCCCATCCCCCCTAGAGTCCTACACGAGAGGGTTCTTTCCGGATCCATCTGCTCCAATATTGGCCTGCTCACCACATTGCCCATCACGCCACTCCTCACATATCTACTCTCATTCCATCATTGGCCCCCACCCGCCTTCCCCACCCCACCAACCCGTCCCCATCCCCTCTAGAGTCCTACACGAGAGGGTTCTTTCTGGGTCCATCTGCTCCAATAGCGGCCTCCTCACCTCGCCACTCCTCACCTACCCTATCACCCCACCCTTATTCTCTGTCCCCCGTCCCCGTCCCCATCCCCCTCTAGAGTCCTCCACGAGAGGGTTCTTCCCGGATCCATTTGCTCCAATATCGGGCTCCTCACCACATTGCCCATCACGCCACTCCTCACCTATCCTCTCTCATTCCACCCTTATTTTCCCCCCTCCCCCCTCCCCCCTTCCCACCCGTCCCCATCCCCATCCCCCTCTAGAGTCCTCCACGAGAGGGTTCTTCCCGGATCCATATGCTCCAATATCGGGCTCCTCACCACACTGCTTAGGCTGTAAGCTTATTCTACGATGATGCCTACTAGGTTGAAGCGCCAGGGATGTTTTGTAGGCTAACGCCAACATTTCTTCATAGGTCAAGCTCTTAACGTACTTAGTAGCAGGCTGCTAACCCATAAGTGGCTTAACTTTCTGTTCCGTTTCCATTGCTCCCAAAGCTTTTGCCCTACCCATGTCGAGCCTTCCATTTCTGCTTTTTTCGTTACTGACTTCACAAGTCCTCCTGCCTGCGTAAAACATTTTCGAAACATCTTTGTTTTCTGTGAACCTCGTTCCATCATCCTCGTTAGTGACTTGGCCAACAACTCGCTATCAGGCTCGCTTCCCTCCAGTATTGCTAACCTCGCACAGCTCAACCTCCTGTGAGTCATATTTGCCCCTCTTTCTTCTCCAGAGTCTTCCTCTCCTCATCTTTCTTTTGAGGCGCCTCTAATCTCGCTGTCAGGCTCGCTTCCATCCAGCATTGCCAACCTCACACAGCTTAACCTCCTCATGAGTCATCGCCTCTTGTTTCTTTTGAGGCGCCTCAAATTTTGCTATCAGGCTCGCTTCCTTAGCAGCATTGCCAACCTCACACACCTCAAACTCCTGTAAGTACTAAGTCAGCATCTCCTCATAATTCTTCTCTCTCATGAGTCAGTTTGTGAGTCCTACGTGATTGTTTACAGTGCAACGGAGGAGTAATAGGCCGGTCCTTGATTCGTCTACAGTAATCCCTCCCACTAGCATGGATCTTCTCTGTAAAAACTGCCCCAAAAGAGTGAAGTCCCAGCCACACAATTCGCCCACAACAGCACAATTTGCCACATCCTGTCCAAGCCCCTCTCTCTCGCTCGCTCTACCCTTGCAAGGGTCTCCGAATGAACTGTCCCAAGAATGGAGTTTGAGTCACACAATCTGCTCACAGTCACATGTCCCCCCGTTTCTCTTCCTCCACTTGCAGAGATCTCCGGAACAACCACCTAAACGGAACCATCCCAGCTACCCTCTCTCGCCTTACCACCCTGCAAATCCTGTAAGTTTCTCCCTCCTCCTCCCCCCCCCGCCCCCCCCTCCTCTTTTCCACACTCACCGCACCCACCCCACCGTCCCATTCACTTGAGCCGCAATGGCATTGTCCAGACTTGTTCTTGTTGGTCTTTTGAAGTGTATAAAGCGAGCTTGACTTTTGAGACGTCTCGAAAAACACACCCACCCCACCGTAGCATTCACCTGAGCCGCAATGGCATTGTCCAGACTTGTTCTTATTTCTTTCTAAATTTGTTTAAAGACCTGCTTTTGACATGTTTCAGAGCTAATTATTGTGAATCTGTTTTTTGTTTGTCCAGCAGCTCGCCCTGCCCATTGCCCCACTCATCTTTCCATTGGCTTGACTTGAGCTCCATTCACATCTCAGAATTCCTCCCACCAGCCAGCATTCTGTACATTTAATAAATTCAAATTTGCTGATCTGCCAACCATCCCCCCATCCTGCACTTTCTCACCCGCTCACGCCCATTCCCTCGTGCCGCTTCCTTCCCATACGCCGCTCCCCTCCCCATATCCTCCCTCCCCCCTGCTTTTGAGGCGCCGCAAAAACCATCCATCCCTCCATCCTGCTCTCTCTCACACGCTCACGCCCATTTCTTCATGCCCCTTCCTTCCCATACGCCGCTCCCCTCCCCATATCCCCCCTCCCTTCCTCGCAGGAACCTTGCAAACAACAGGTTTAGCGGAGTTCTTCCCTCCTCCATCTACTCCCTAACCTCCCTCAAACAGTTGTAAGCTCTTTCTATGCCCCTCGTGACCCTCCCTCCCTCCCTCCCTCCCTCCCTCCCTCCCTCCCTCCCTCCCTCCCTCCGCCCCTCCGCCCCTCCCTCCCTCCCTCCGCCCCTCCCTCCCTCCCTCCGCCCCTCCCTCCCTCCCTCCCTCCCTCCCTCCCTCCCTCCCTCCCTCCCTCCCTCCCTCCCTCCCTCCCTCCCTCCCTCCCTCCCTCCCTCCCTCCCTCCCTCCGCCCCTCCCTCCGCCCCTCCCTCCGCCCCTCCCTCCGCCCCTCCCTCCCTCCCTCCCTCCCTCCCTCCCTCCCTCCCTCCCTCCCTCCCTCCCTCCCTCCCTCCCTCCGCCCCTCCCTCCGCCCCTCCCTCCGCCCCTCCCTCCCTCCCTCCCTCCCTCCCTCCCTCCCTCCCTCCCTCCCTCCCTCCCTCACTCCCTCCCTCCCTCCCTCCCTCCCTCCCTCCGCCCCTCCCTCCGCCCCTCCCTCCGCCCCTCTCTCCCTCCCTCCCTCCCTCCCTCCCTCCCTCCCTCCCTCCCTCCCTCCCTCCCTCCCTCCCTCCCTCCCTCCCTCCCTCCCTCCCTCCCTCCCTCCCTCCCTCCCTCCCTCCGCCCCTCCGCCCCTCCCTCCCTCCCTCCGCCCCTCCCTCCCTCCCTCCGCCCCTCCCTCCCTCCCTCCGCCCCTCCCTCCCTCCTTCCGCCCCTCCCTCCCTCCCTCCCTCCCTCCCTCCCTCCCTCCCTCCCTCCCTCCCTCCCTCCCTCCCTCTCTCCCGCCCCTCCCCTTTCCCTTCATCCATGGACTAGTTAACCTCCCTCAATGAGTCTTGAGATTTGTTTTTCTTCCAGCCTTTTCTTGCACCTCCCCTCCCCCCCTCCACCCCCTCGCTCATCTCGTGAGCTGTCTGCTCCCTCGATCCCTTTCATCCCCCCTCTTTCCATTGCTATCTTTTGCATTGGCTCTCATTCCCTCTCACTTTTTCCATTGCACGCCCTCTCACTCGCATTTGTATCATTGTTGCTTCCCATTGCATGCCATACCATGCCATGCCATGCCAAGCCATGCCATGCCATGCCAAGCCATGCCATGCCATGCCATGCCAAGCCATGCCATGCCATGCCAAGCCATGCCATGCCATGCCATGCCATGCCATGCCATGCCATGCCATGCCATGCCATGCCATGCCATGTTATGCGATGCCATCGCATGCCATGCCATACCACACCATGGCATACTATGCCACGTCATGCCACACGATGCCATGCCACACAATGCCATGCATTCACACAGGGATGTTTCAGGCAACTCAATGCAAGGCTCCCTGCCCCTCTCAGTCAGCACTCTTAGCTCTGTGCACACGCTGTAAGTTGGTAATCGCTTGAAGGGTGCTTCAAATGCAATAGCACTACCTGGGTGGGTTCAAACTCTTACTCTTGCCCCATAAAGTGCCGCAGCAGTGCAGTCGTGTTTTGAGTCGAGTCAAAACACAGTACACTCAACCTCCTCACCTCTCTGCATATGCTGCAATTTGCTGGTCTCTTAAGGGCCTCCTCGAAAGCAGTATTACCACTAGCCATGATGAGCGTGGGTTCAAATTCCTGCTCTTGCTCCATGAAGCGCCGCGCCGCAGCAGTGCAGTCGTGTTTTGATTCGACTCAAAACACAGAACACTCAACCTCCCTTTCACCTCTCATCTCTAGTCATGATGAGCGTGGGTCCAAGCTCCTGCTCTTGCCTTTATGAAGCGCCACAGCAGTGCAGTAGGCGGCGACTCAATCAGAGTAAATTCTCTGCCATGCCACGCACGCCACACCTTGCCTCTCTGCAAACACTTTCTGATGGGGCGACTCAATCAGAGTAAATTCTAGGCATGAGCATGTTTCTCCCATCCACGCCATGTCATTCCATGTTATGCCATGCCATGATGCCATGCCATGCCACGCACGCCACACCACGCCATGCCACACCATGCGATGCCCTACACTCAGGGACGTTTCAGGCAACTCATTTCGAGGCTCTCTGCCCCTCTCACTCAGCGCGCTCACCTCTTTGGAAACGCTGTGAGTTGTCAATCTCTTTTGGAGCGCCTTGATCGAATGTAGTAGCCCTACCTGGGCAGCAGATCTGGGTCTTGCCCCATGAAGTGCCCCTCTCACTCAGCGCGCTCACCTCCCTCTCTGGAGACACTGTAAGTTGGTAGTTTCTTCTGAAGCGCCCTCACCTTTTGAAGCGCCCTGAAGCGCCTTGAATGCAGTGTTGTCAGCGCGCTCACCTCTCTAAAAAGCTGTACGTTTCTTATGGGGCAATTCAAGACCAAGTTTAGGAGGATGAGTTCAAACTTGAACTTCCTCTTCCCACCCCCCTCTTCAAAATAATTTCTAGTGAATGCACTTAGCACTCTCAGTACACTCCATTATATGTAAGTTTCCCGTGAGGTGCTTTGTAAGAGATGTACTAATGTTGTGTATGTATGGAGTGAGTGAGCTGAGCTAACCACTCTCCACCCATGTGTCGCAATGTCCTCTCTCGTCTCGTCCCTGCAGCAACGTGGGCAGCAATGGGTTCTCGGGTACCATCCCCTCCTCTCTCAGCCTCCTCACCGGCCTCACTAGCCTGTACGCAGCTCTCTAGTTGAGGCACCTCAAAAGCCCTTTTTTTCGTAGAATTCCTGAAGATTACAACTCTCTCGCCGGAAAATGCATTCTAGGGTGGTGAAAATGTGTCGAAGGCAGTGAAAGGCGGTCCCACTAGCCTCATCTAATGTTGTCCCTTTGACTGCATTCCATTTGTCTCTGCATGCAGCGACTTAAGGAACAACTATTTCTCGGGCCCTCTTCCCTCGTCCCTCGCAAAACTCACTGCTCTCGTCACTCTGTGAGTCCACCTCACATTATTTCAGTCAACCAGAATATACCCTTACTTTTGAGGCGCCTCAAAAGTCGACTCGGGCTCTCTTCCCTCGTCCCTGGCAAAACTCACTGCTCTCGTCACTCTGTGAGTCCACATGACGTTATCTCAGTCTACCAAAATTTGCCCTTAGTAAGGGTCCCATCCTTACTAAGGGTCCCATCCTTAGTATAGGGTAGTTGTGTGGGTTGGAATGAAGTGTCCCATCCTGGAATAATTTTGTCGATGACAAACAGAACGTCATGATGACAAACAGAACGTCATGATGACAAACAGAACGTCATGATGACAAACAGAACGTCATGATGACAACCAGAACGTCATGATGACAACCCGAACGTCATGATGACAACCAGAACGTCATGATGACATGCTTTGGAAGGTGGTAAGTTGGTGATAAAGTTCAAACTGACCACCTTGCCGATGTTTTTCTTGGGACAGCAACGCCAACGGCTCAGCCCACCTGAGTCAACTTCTGTGTAAAGCTGATGGCTTTCCTCCCTTCATGTTTCAAACAAATGTTTCAACGAATCTCAATAAGGTGTTTTCACTAATCAATTTTGCTTTCGAGATGAGAGGGTAAGCCATTGAGAGTATACTAACTCTGAGTCACTCCCTTGTGTCTATTTGATTGTAGGTATGTGGAGGTGGTTAGGTAGGTACCTGTTTGTGAGTCTCCTGATGTGAAGTTAGTTTGTTGTAATCTCGCCTTTCAATATACATCCAACTTTCTTTCCCTACCCTCTCCCACCAGATGCCTCGGTTCAAACATCTTAGGAAAAACAATGTTGTCGCAAATCGAGACCCTTACCGCCCATTAAGTATACATCCCCAATTTCGCCCCCCTCCTCTCCCCCCACCAGTCGCCTTGGTTCCAACATGTTGGGGAACAATACTATCGCAAATCGGAACCCTTACCACCTATGAAACATGCATCCCTCCTTCCCCCCTTCTCCTTTTGAGTCGACTCAAAAGTCACCACCTATGGAGCATGCATCCCTCCTTCCCCCCTTCTCCTTTTGAGTCGACTCAAAAGTCACCACCTATGAAGCATGCATCCCTCCTTCCCCCCTTCTCCTTTTGAGTCGACTCAAAAGTCACCACCTATGAAGCATGCATCCCTCCTTCCCCCCTTCTCCTTTTGAGTCGACTCAAAAGTCACCACCTATGAAGCATGCATCCCTCCTTCCCCCCTTCTCCTCACCAGTCGCCTTGGTGGCAACATGTTAGGAGGAACAATACCGTCGCAAATCGGGGCACTTACCAATCTCAACGTTCTGTAGGTATTTTCATTCACTTGTTGCACTCTGTGTATTTTCATGACCCTAACTTTTGAGTTGACTCAAAAGGCAAATCGGGGCTCTTACCAATCTTAACGTTCTGTAGGTATTTTCATTACTTGATTGTACTCTGTATATTACCTTGTTGTACTCCGTATATTTCCATTACCTTAATGTATTATAAACTTGAGGTACCTTAGTTTCCAGAGTTCAGTGGTATATCAGTATTGCTTGTCATGTGCGTCTGATTTACCTATTGAGGCGCCTCAATAGCAACTTGAAGGGCTGGTATTGTAGTGCATGATTTGCTGCTACACTGATCCATACCCGCCCCGTCCCCTCCTCGTGCCTCCAGTGACGTCCCTACCACTGCTATTCAAGGCGTGCTTCCCCCCAGCATTGGCAGGCTTACCGCCCTCACAGAGCTGTAAGGACAGTCCGTATACATGTTTACACAGATGAAAATATATATAAGTCAACCCAGCATAGGCAGACAACCGCCCTTATGGAGCTGTAAGTATAGATGTAAGGTGCCTCAACATCCGGCTTATTTATTTCACAGAGCTCTACATATGATCAACACGTTTTTGTCCCTGTCAATTTCTGGATTTTCTTCTATTCTCTAGTCACTCATGCAGGTGTAAGTTACCCTCGGCTTTATTCCCCTAACTCCCTCAATCCCCCTCACCTCCAATTCTAACTGCAACGTGAGGGGCATGGGAATCACGTGCCCTTCAGCAGCAGCCCACCAACTATGTGTGGTCGCCCCTGGTGACTTTTGAGTCGACTCAAAAGCCATCAGCAGCAGCCCACCAACCATGTGTGGTCGCCCCTGGTGACTTTTGAGTCGACTCAAAAGCCATCCGCAGCAGCCCACCAACCATGTGTGGTCGCCCCTGGTGACTTTTGAGTCGACTCAAAAGCCATCAGCAGCAGCCCACCAACCATGTGTGGTCGTCCCTGGTGACTTTTGAGTCGACTCAAAAGCCATCAGCAGCAGCCCACCAACCATGTGTGCTCGCCCCTGCCTTACTTCTCTGCCTACCATAGCCCTTCAGTCCCCTCAGTCCCCTCAGTCCCCTCAATTCCTTCGCCCCACCCCTCACCTCCAATGCAGCAACATGAGGGGCACAGGCATCACATACCCATCAGCAGCAGGCTGGTGGGCTGCTGCTGATGGGGTGTGTGGTGTGGCAAACCCCTTCCGGTGCTCGCCCTTGCCTCACCTCTCCGTCTACTGTTCCCCCTATATCCCCTCAATCTCCCAAACATTGAATCCAGCGACATAAGGGGCACGGGAATCACGTGCCCATGAGCAGCAGCCCACCAACCGTGTGTGGTGTGGCAAACCTCTTCCTCTCTCTTCTGCATCACCTGCCCCACCTTCTGCCCCACCTTCTGCCCCACCTTGCCTTTCCTCTCTGTCTTGTTTGGCCCCTGACCCCCCCCTCTCCCCTCACCTCCAATCCAGCGACATAAGGGGTACGGGAATCACATGTCCATCAGTAGTAGCCCACCAACCGTGTGTGGTGTGGCAAACCTCCTCCTCTCAATTCTGCCTCACCTGCCCCGCCTTCTGCGCCAACTGCTCCACTGCAGGCCTGCCGCCCAAGCCAGGTAGGTACAGTCAGTCTGCCGTCCAAACGAGGTAATGTTGTAAGAAGGTAGCAAAGTAGGTAGTGCTCTGCCTTCTGCCGTCCAAACGAGGTAATGTTGTAAAAAGGTAGCAAAGTAGGTAGTGCTCTGCCTTCTGCCGTCCAACCGTTCCACTGCAAGCCTGCTGCCGAAGCAAGGTATACATTGCAACGAGGTGACTTTTGAGTCGACTTAAGAATCGAAGTAGGTAGTGCTCTGCTCTGCCTTCTGTGCCAACTGTTCCACTACAAGCATGCCGCCCAAGCAATGTATACATTGTAACGAGGTGACTTATGAGTCGACTCAAAAGTCAGAGTAGGTAAGGAGTCGTGTTTTGAGTCGACTTAAAAATCGAAGTAGGTAGTGCTCTGCTCTGCCTTCTGCGCCAACCGTTCCACTGCAAGCATGCCGCCCAAGCATGCCAAAGAGGGTACGCAACCTCTTGGTCAAAGCGAGGTTTCAAAAACGGGGATAAACTACCCCCGTGACTTGATGGGATTGAGTTCATCCCACCAACTTGCATGCTCTGCATTCTGGGCCAACTGTTCCACTGCAAGCATGCCACCGAAGCAAGGTAGCCATAGGTAGTAACTAAGAAGGTAACAGGGTAGCATTGTAACAATGTATCAATGCTGCAAATTAGCGAGGTAACATGGTTATGTTCTTACCCTATGCCCATGGTTATTCTCAAGCTACAAGACTGTGTGCATTGCAGCGTGACTAGCAGGCTCTCTTTTCGTTTCCCAAGCAATCCCCTGCCCAAAGCTCTAAACCGTGTGACATTGTAGCGAGTTGATTTTTGCTGCCACGTAAAGACTATGGCTCCCGTCTGGGGTTCCATCGTGACTAGCAGGCTCTCTTTTCGTCTCCCAAGCAATCCCCTGCCCAAAGCTCTAAACCCTGAACCTTGGCCTTGATTTTACTGCACTGTTATCCCACTGCTTCAGGTGCAACCACAACCTCCCCCCCATCACCAACACCATCATCACCATCATCACCATCATCAACATCATTGTCACTATCTTCGGGCGAAACGCAAAACCCTTTAATAATCGGCATTGCGGTCGGCGTGGGTCTTCTGCTGCTTCTAGCCACACTCGGAGGGTGTTTGATGTTCAATGGTTACCCTAAAGGTGCGTCGAGAAGGGCTCTCTAGGCGTCTCAAACCTCTTTTCTTGCTTTTGGTTGCAGTGAGGGGGAATTTCTTGTTCCATGAGCATTTCTTTTCTTGCCGATAAAGGTGAGTGCATCTAAGCACGGTGTAGTTTGAGTCAACCCAAATAATTTCTGTTGTTCCGCGGGTGCCTTGGAGGTGCGTTTATGAGGGGGCTGATTCTTATCGGCAATATTGCTACTGTGTGAGTCTGATTCGAACTATTTCTCTACCTGTTGCGCCGCATTGTTGAAACTGTTTGTTTTCCCACGCACGCGCACGCACACGCGCGCGCGCACATACACACACATATGCTTGTTGTGCAGGCAAGACGGATTTCTGGAGCATGCTGGGCCAGAGGGCCACGTGCTAACGGTACACCCTCAAGAAATTCAAGAAGGCAACTCGGGGGGTTAAGTAAAGGAGAACCACATGTGTGCCCAACTCTCCCCTTCCATAAACTATCGGATTGTGCAGGCAAGCCAGACTTTTGGAGCATGCTAGGCCAGAGAGCCACATGCCAGCGTTATTCCCTCAAGCAAGTGAAGAAGGCAACTGGGAGCTGGGCGAAGGAGAACCTGATTGGGTCAGGAGGGTACGGGGAGGTGTATCGAGGGGTGTGCCCACACGAACCCACCATGGTGTGGGCTGTGAAGCGCGCCAAAATACTCACCAACGACTTCAAACGAGAGGTGTGTGTTTGTGGTGTGGTGTGGTGTGGTGTGGTGTGATGTGGTGTGGTGGTGTGGTGTGGCATGGTGTGTCTGGATGACCTTTTGATGGTGTGGGCTGTGAAGCGCGCCAAGATACTCACCAAACGAGAGGTGTGCAGCGGGAGTAGATGTTTGGGAAGGTGGGGTTAAAGTGAATGGGCATCCTTTTATCTCCCAGAAATCTCCCTTCCTCCCCTTGTACAGGTGGAGGAGATGGCATCAAAGAGCCCATGCGTAGCATGAAATCGCACACAAGTCACATCTTCCCTCTATATAATTGCACACAAGTCACATCTTCCCTCTATGGAATCGCACACAAGTCACATCTTCCCTCTATGGAATCGCACACAAGTCACATCTTCCCTCTATGGAATCGCACACAAGTCACATCTTCCCTCTATGGAATCGCACACAAGTCACATCTTCCCTCTATGGAATCGCACACAAGTCACATCTTCCCTCTATGGAATCGCACACAAGTCACATCTTCCCTCTATGGAATCGCACACAAGTCACATCTTTCCTCTTATTTTCCTTCTTCTTTACCCATGCAGGTGGAGGAGATGGCATCAAAGAAGAGCCCATGTTTTTAGCATGTCATTGCATGTCATTGCATGTCAATGCATATCACTGCATGTCATTGCATGTCATTGCATGTCATTACATGTCACAGTTTCCCACCCTTGCCTGCTTCCCCTCTTTTCCTCCCCACCGAGCAAGTGGAGGAGATGGCATGAAAGAGGCGCAATAGTCTCACGAGTTTCACTGCCCGTCACGTCTTTCTTTCCTCATCCCCTTGGTCCCGTCACAGGTGGAGGAGATGGCATCAAAGAGCCATCCGCACTTGGTGCGGCTGCTGGGGTACTGTGTGGACATGGATATGGTGACAGGCCAGCTCTAGCAGATCGTCATCTATGAGTTCTGCCTCAATGGGGACTTGGAGAAGTATCTGAGTGGGGGTGAGTGGTGTGGCAGAAGTGTCATGTTGAGCGTTCTTGCGATGGAAAAGTTGTGGTTTGTTTGTTTGTTTGTTTTTTGTCCCACTTGTCGTACTGGATATGGTGATGAGGTGGTGCAATATATGATGTGAACGACAAATTGGTCCGCTTTGTTCCTTCACCATGCGTCATCCTTCTGTGCCTCTGCCATTGTAACGAGGTAACTTATGGGTCAACTCAAATGTCAAATTGGTCCGCTTTATTCCTTCAACACACACGCCCATCCGTGCCTCTGACCCTCGTCTCGCCATCCTTCCCAGGCCCAAGGAAAGGCAAGCTTATCATGCAGCAGCGCATGCATGTGCCAGTTCAGCTCATCCTGAACCCCCCTTCTTGACGTGCGTGCCTTCCCTCACCAACGGCAGGTGCTCGGGAGGGAGAGCTGACGCTGCAGCAGCGCATGGATGTGCTGGTGGGGGTGGCAGTAAACAATAAACAACACTGACCTCTTTCTTACTGCTTGCGTTGCAGGTTCTCGGGAGGGAGAGCTGACGCTGCACCAGCGCATGGATGTGCTGGTGGGGGTGGCGCGGGGGTTGGAGTACCTCCACCAGTTTGACATCGTGCATCGAGACATCAAGCCCGCCAACGTGCTGCTCGACGCCCGCATGCAGGTGAGGTGTGAGTAGGGTGCGATGGTTCAGTGCAGTATATTGCGGTTGTGAGCGGTGGGTGCGATTGTTGAGTGTGGAATAGTTCGTTTATGAGGGGGGGTGGGTGGTGCGGGGGTTCGAGACATCAAGCCCGCCAACGTGCTGCTCGATGCCCGCATGCAGGTGAGGTGTGTGTAGGGGTGCGATAGTTGAGTGCGGTGTAGTGCGGTTGTGAAGGGGAGGGGGGGTTGCGATGGTTGAGTGTGGTTTGGTGCGGTTATGAGGGGGGGTGGGTGGTGCGGGGGGTTAGAGACATCAAGCCCGCCAACGTGCTGCTTGATGCCCGCATGCAGGTGCGATGGGCAGGGAACATGAGACAGCCGTTACCATTACACCGTTACCATTACAACGTTACCATTACACCGTTACCATTACCCCGTTACCATTACATCGTTACCATTACACCGTAACCATTACACCGTTACCATTACACCGTTACCATTACACCGTTACCATTACACCGTTACCATTACACCGTTACCATTACACCGTTACCATTACACAGTTACCATTCCACCATTACCATTACACCGCTACCATTACACCTTACCATTACACCGTTACCATTACACCGTTACCATAAGACCGTTACCATAACACCGTTACCATTACACCATTACCATTACACCGTTACCATTAGACCGTTATCATTAGACCGTTATCATTACACCGTTACCATTAGCCCGTCACCATTACACCGTTACCATTACACCGTTACCATTACACCGTTACCATTGCACCGTTACCATTACACCGTTACCATTACACCGTTACCATTACACCGTTACCATTACACCGTTACCATTACACCGTTACCATTACACCGTTACCATTACACCGTCACCATTACACCGTTACCATTACACCGTTACCATTGCACCGTTACCATTACACCGTTACCATTGCACCGTTACCATTACACCGTTACCATTACACCGTTACCATTACACCGTCACCATTACACCGTCACCATTACACCGTCACCATTACACCGTCACCATTACACCGTCACCATTACACCGTTACCATTACACCGTTACCATTACACCGTTACCATTACACCGTTACCATTACACCGTTACCATTACACCGTTACCATTACACCGTTACCATTACACCGTTACCATTACACCGTTGCCATTAGACCGTTGCCATTCGACCGTTCCCATTAGACCGTTACCATAAGACCGTTACCATAAGACCGTTACCATTACACCGTTACCATTACACCGTTACCATTACACCGTTACCATTAGACCGTTACCATTACACCGTTACCATTACACCGTTACCATTACACCGTTACCATTACACCGTTGCCATTAGACCGTTGCCATTAGACCGTTCCCATTAGACCGTTCCCATTAGACCGTTCCCATTACACCGTTACCATTACACCGTTACCGTTACACCGTTACCGTTACACCGTTATCGTAACATCGTTACCGTTACACCGTTACCGTTACACCGTTACCGTTACACCGTTACCATTAGACCGTTACCATTAGACCGTTACCATTACATCGTTACCATTACACCGTTACCATTACACCGTTACCATTACACCTTAACCATTACACCGTTACCATTACACCGTTACCATTACACCGTTACCATTACACCGTTACCATTACACCGTTACCATCAGACCGTTACCATCAGACCGTTACCATAAGACCGTTACCATTACACCGTTACCATTACACCGTTACCATTACACCGTTACCATTACACCGTTACCATTACACCGTTACCATTAGACCGTTACCATTAGACCGTTACCATTACACCGTTACCATTAGACCGTTACCATTAGACCGTTACCATAAGACCGTTACCATAAGACCGTTACCATTACACCGTTACCATTACACCGTTACCATTAGACCGTTACCATTACACCGTTACCATTACACCGTTACCATTACACCGTTACCATTAGACCGTTAACATTAGACCGTTGCCATTAGACCGTTGCCATTAGACCGTTCCCATTAGACCGTTACCATTACACCGTTACCATCACACCGTTACCATTACACCGTTACCATTACACCGTTACCATTAGATCGTTACCATTAGACGGTTACCATTAGACCGTTACCATTACACCGTTACCATTACACCGTTACCATTACACCGTTACCATTACACCGTTACCATTACACCGTTACCATCAGACCGTTACCATCAGACCGTTACCATAAGACCGTTACCATAAGACCGTTACCATTACACCGTTACCATTACACCGTTACCATTACACCGTTACCATTACACCGTTACCATTAGACCGTTACCATTAGACCGTTACCATTACACCGTTGCCATTAGACCGTTACCATTAGACCGTTACCATAAGACCTTTACCATAAGACCATTACCATTACACCGTTACCATTACACCGTTACCATTAGACCGTTACCATTACACCGTTACCATTACACCGTTACCATTACATCGTTACCATTAGACTGTTACCATTAGACCGTTGCCATTAGACCGTTGCCATTAGACCATTACCATAAGACCGTTACCATAAGACCGTTACCATTACACCGTTACCATTACACCGTTACCATTAGACCGTTACGATTACACCGTTACCATTACACCGTTACCATTACACCGTTACCATTAGACCGTTACCATTAGACCGTTGCCATTAGACCGTTGCCATTAGACCGTTCCCATTAGACCGTTCCCATTAGACCATTCCCATTACACCGTTACCATTACACTGTTACCGTTACACCGTTACCGTTACACCGTTACCGTTACACCGTTAATGTTACACCGTTACCGTTACACCGTTACCGTTACACCGTTACCGTTAGACCGTTACTGTTAGACCGTTACCGTTAGACCGTTACCGTCAGACCGTTACCGTTAGACCGTTACCATTACACCGTTACCATTATACCGTTACCATTAGACCGTTACCACTACACCGTTACCATTACACCGCTACCATTACACCGCTACCATTAGCCCGTTACCATTAGACCGTTACTATTACACCGTTACCATTACACCGTTACCGTCACACCGTTACCATTACACCGTTACCATTACACCGTTACCATTAGATCGTTACCATTAGACCGTTACCATTAGACCGTTACCATTTACACCGTTACCATTACACCGTTTCCATTACACCGTTACCATTAGACCGTTACCATTAGACCGTTACCGTTACACCGTTACCGTTACACCGTTACCATTACACCGTACCGTTACACCGTTACCGTTAGATTGTTACCATTCGACCATTACCATTAGACTGTTACCGTTACACCGTTACCGTTACACCGTTACCGTTACACCGTTACCGTTACACCGTTACTGTTAGACCGTTACCATTAGACCGTTACCATTACATCGTTACCATTACACCGTTACCATTACACCGTTACCATTACCACCACTGCACCGTTACCATTACCACCATTGCACCGTTACCAGTACCACCACTGCACCGTTACCATTACCACCAGCACTACTTGAGCTCACCAGCACAACTGCCTCAGCTGTGGGTTCCCCTTGGCTGCGTCCTCTGCCACCTTCTTTAGATTCTCTGCTGCGTCCGACAGGTTCATTGCAGTAGGGCGGCTGGGAGGCGACAAGGGGGGAGAGAGAGGAGTGTGTGAGAGAGAGACCAAGGGGAACACGTGAGCGCATATGGTCCTGTTTGATCTTCTCTGCCGAGCGGAGTGGTCGAGAGCAGCCCAGGCGGTGGTTGGCTGGTGCGGAAGTGCTCGGAATGTTGTGTCCGCCATCATCGAGAGTGGAATAGCTCACCTGGATACGAACACGGAAGTCGAGGCTATCGGTGGTGTGCTTCACGGAATTGAACACGCTGTGCACCTCCACTCCACTGCCAGCGCCAGCGCCAGCGCCTTTTGAGGCGGCCACGGTCAAACAAGCACGCACCTGGAGGCGAGGTAATCAAGGCGATCGGTGGTGCGTTTCACGGTTGCATCAGCACTCTCGAACACGCTGTGCTCAAGTGCGCCTCCACTGCCAGCGCCAGCGCCTATTGAAACTCCTACAGTCAGAAACACACACGCACCTTGGCACGAGGTAGTCAAGGCGTTCAACAATGTGCTTCAAGGAGTGACTGGAGCTCACTGACTGGAGCTCACTGACTGGAGCTCACTGACTGGAGCTCACTGACTGGAGCTCACTGACTGGAGCTCACTGACTGGAGCTCACTGACTGGAGCTCGCTGACTGGAGCTCACTGTCTGGAGCTCACTGACTGGAGCTCACTGACTGGAGCTCCCTGACTGGAGCGTTCGTGGAGTTGTCGATTTTTGAGAATTCTTAAAAGACGGAGACTTCATGCCGTTCATGTCTGAACCGTTTAAATATTCATGTCTTTACCACACAAATGACGGTATGCCGTTTTGTCCCTCATTCCGTTCTCCTTTCTTCCACACCGGGCGACGGTATGAGAATCTGGCCCGGAGCGCATGACAGAATTGATGTGACTTCTCAAATCATCCCTCTACCCACCGCCCCCTAACACAGGCGAAGGTGTCGGATTTCGGGTTGGTGCGCATGACAGAAGGCACCTTAGTGAATCCCACCCGAGTGGTCGGCACTCCGGGCTATGTGGACCCCGCTTACTCGCGCACCAACAAGGCCACGCCCATGGCTGACGTTCATAGATGCGTTGCCCTTTCCAAGAAAGAGTGGTCCTTTATACACTTCCATGAAAGAGTGATTCGTTTTCTCATGAACTGGTTTGTCTCTGGATGTGCTTCTCTCATCAAACAAGCAACACTTCTATCCTAACTTTTCTTGAGCACTCCTTCTGTTCTTGCCGTTTGTGCAGTTATGGTGTGATGCTGCTGGAGGTGATTACAACGATTCCTGTGATCCTCTCTGTGGATGGCAACGAGTACCGTATACTCCCGGACAAAACACCCCCCCATAATTGTACACCCCCGGGTAGCTTGTGCGGGGTGGGTGTTATGATAGACCTCGTTTCTACTATACCCCCCTTTTTGGCTGATTTTCTATAACACCCCCCTTTTCTTACGGATTCATTATTATAGTCGTTAACGAGTAGCTGCAATACGGAAGAATATCGTGTGAATTTCTCCCTCAATGAAATTTCGCGGTACATTCAAAGGCAATCTGCCAAGATTTGCCCCCTCCCACTATTTCTCTGTTGCCACGTGCAGGTGAATCTTCCGTTGCAAGTGGCAAGTGAGGTGTCACATGGCATTTTCGTGAGGGCGATGAAGTTTGAGGCCGAAACTGACATTCGCGCCTCAGGCAGTGATGCTAAAACGACCAGCAAAACACCCACATTGACTAATTAAAAAAACACCAACACTAAAATATGCCATATATAAAGACTCGGGTATTATGTAATTTTTTCCTATGAGGAGACCCCCCCCCATTTTTTCCCTGTATTTTTAGCTATACCCTAGGGTATTATGTCCGGGAGAATACGGTACAACATCAAAGACTGGGTAAGTGGATGCGGGGTACTGCAACGTTCTTTCACGTGCCTCAAATTTGAAACAGGTTTCAAGCTTTTTTTTTCCTATTCCTATTTTCTTTCTGATTTTAGGAGTGTTTTTCTGTAGAAGAGTTTTGAGGCGCCTCAAAACCCCGACACAATAGACGGTTTTGAAGCACCTCAAAATTCGCCTTGATGGAGGAGGCCAATAACCCCTTGCTGGTTCTAGACAACAGCCTTTTGTTTGCACCTCCTTGGTTCTTGCTGTCCTGTCCCTCTTGCCTCAGCAGGTTCCTTGCAGATTTGCTCATTCGTCGATGAGACAAGTGCTCTTGCAGACCCCCTTACCTGCACCTCCTTCTAATCCCGCCCTTTTCTTTCATTCCCAACCCTCTCCCCACGCAGATTCGCCCCTTTGTCGAGGAGAACGACGTGGCAGCATTCAAGGAACCCCGTCTTCCGGAAGCTTCCAGCGACCTTCTCCTCTCCCTCGCCAGAATCGGCCTAGAGTGCACCGCCCTCCCACCCTCCTCCCGCCCATCAATTTTCGACGTTGTACGGCAACTCGAAACCCTAAAAAGGGAACACCTGAGCAGGAGCCACGAGGAGGATGGTGGTGCTCGTGGAGCCAATCTTGCTGACGTGGACCATCGTGTGGCTCAGATCGACAAGGAGCTCGACAGGCGGGCCGAGTCGATCCAACGGTTGAATAATCTGTCGGAAATCGGAACTTACCACCAAGGGGGTTCTGGGGCATTAATGAGCGCTGCTAGCGAAATTGGTACCGGTATTTACCGAGGGGATTCTTCTCGGGCTGTAATGGACATCAATAATTCCCTAGATGTCTCTGCTGGTTCTTCCAGAAGCATCGGGTATGTGGTAGGCAGGGCCCAAAATAGGTTTTAGCTCACTCTTTCAAATCAGGGTGGCATCCCCTCCGTACCCTGACTGGTAGGGTAAAGTTTCTCGTACACTGATTGTAGCAGCCTAAAAGTTTTGGTACACTGATTTTGGCAGGATAATATATGTCGTACACTGTTTCCTTCCTAAGCATAAGATTGTACTACTACAACAATTACTTAGTTATCACTAAAGTGTTCTGCACTGCACCTACAAGCTTTACTACCAACCAAGTTAAATAAAGGGCCCTACAGAAGACACTAGTCAATCAACATCTGCTGCACTAGCAACTGCCTCGTCTGCAAACTGCTTAGTGCTGCAGGACTTCATGCCGGAGTGCGGAGATAACTGCTACAACGAGAGCTAGACTGCAGGCTAGGCACGTGTGCTCGTGTGATCTCTGCGTTCTCTGTTCCTTAGTCGTTTTCCTTGTGCGCACACTACTTGCTAGTTCACGGGGAAAGTTGGCAAGAGTTCCACTAGGAAAAGTTTTCGAACAATTGGTACAATGAAGTTGGCATAGCAAGACTACATCAGAGCAAGCATTCAGGTCGGCCAACTGCCAGCGCAGCTTGGTCGACCGCGTTCCAGCAAGGCAAGATCGACGGCGTGCCAACGTCGCAGGTCGACAGCGTGACAGCGTTGCTCACGCAGGACAGCAGTGCACTCTGCTTTGCAGTTGCGCGCAGATGATTGGCGTGCAGAGTCTCGTCACCTGCACAGTGCACACACCACGTCAACCTCGAGCTGACGACTGCCTCTGATCCGCCACGACGACCTCGGGATACCACCACCGAGGTTGGGCTCGCCAACTTTGCCTGGGCGACCGTCGCACTCCTCCGCAGCACTTCGTCACCCAGGTAACCTGGTCGACCAGGCAACCACGTCGACCAGCAGCTCCCGTACGTGCCCGTCGACCTCCCAAGTCGACGACCACCTCCACGTCGACCTCACCAGGTCGACGACACCATCAGTCGACCTCCTCCAGGTCGACGTCCCCTCTGGTCTACCAGCTCCACGTCGACCTGCTCCTCGTCGACCAGCACAGTCGTCGGCCGACCACCCACGTCGGCCACCCGAGGCTGGCGTCACAAAGTTGACGCCCCGCTACTCGACGCCCATCTGCTCGGCGTCCTGAGTCGAGGTCGACGTCGGCCCCTCCTTCGTCGACCACCAGGTCCAGTCGACCACTAATAGGTCGACCAGCATCCGTTAGCCGACCGCCGAAGTCGGCTTCCCCAAGTTGACGTCACCAAGTTGACGTCCTCCGCAGGTCGACTCCCAATTCGACCTCCCTGAAGTCGGCGCCAACCTGAAGTCGGCACCCGTGCAGTGGTCCCCCGTGCAGTGGTGCCCCGTGCAGGTCGACCTCCTCGTCGACCAGCTCACCCACTGCTGCAGGTCGGCTGCTCCCCTCACACCCGACCACGAAGTCGGCTCCGCCCAAGCGAGGACGGGGCCAATACCCAACACCCGTTGACACTCCCCTGCCGTGTTCACGCTTGGGCGCCCAGCCCACACGGCAGTACAGCTCGGAGACTAGCTCGTCGACGTGCACCCAACACATAGCACGTCGTCCACCGCACCAGCCATGCAAAAGGGCCTGGCACCTACTGCTGGACGTCGTCGACTTCGTTGCCAATGTCGGCCAAGCGCACCTGGCCGATGGCGATGGAGCACCGGTTGATGGCCGGATGGTGCAGCGCCTTCGTCAGGAAGTCGGCCGGCTGCTCAGCGGTCGGGATGTACTGTAGCGAGAACTTCCCGCGCTTCACCATGTGCTGCAGCCAGGCCTGTCGTCGCTCCATGTGCTTGAGGTTGCCTGTCAACCCCATGCCCTCGGCGACCGTGATGGCCGACTTGTTGTCCACGCGCAGGACGGTCGACTTCCCGGCGTCCAGCTGCCGGAACTGTGCAAGAAGGAAGCGAAGGCAACGTCCCTCCTTGCCAGCTTCAGTGGCCGCCTTGTACTCAGACTCGGTCGACGACAGTGTCGCGCACTTGATGCGCTGGCTCGACCAGGAGACTGCGGCCCCTCCGTAGACGAACACGTAGCCACCCGTGCTCGTCCTGCTCTGCTTGTCACCGGCGTCATCGGCGTCCACGTAGCCGACCAGCTCCAGCGACTCAGGTCCACCGCCGAACTCCAGGGCGGTGTCACGTGTGTTGGCGAGGTAGGCGAGGCAGCGGTCGACCTCGCGCCAGTGCTGGTCGCTCCTCACTATGAGGCCGCTTCTCAGCTTGCTGCAGGCAAAGGCGATGTCCAGCCTCGTCGTGGTCGCCGCAAACTGCAGCGAGCCAACCTTCTGCCGGTACTCCTCCTCCTGTTGCTCCTGCGTCTCCTCGTCGTCGAAGGTGAGCTCGGCGTAGGCGCCGACCGAGACCGGCGTCTTCGGGGTGCGCCCGGTCTGCTCCTCGTCAAGGAAGCGCCTACGCAGCTTGTCAGCGTAGCCCTGCTGGTGCAGCCACACCTTCCCCGCCGACCTGTCGCGCACGATCTCCAGCCCGAGGTACTTCTGCATCGGCGAGATCTCGCGCAGCTCGAAGGCGGCTTCTAGCAGCTCCTTCAGCTCCCTCAGCATCGCGGCGCTGCTGCTGGCGGCAAGCAGGTCGTCGACATAGACCAGCACCCAGCAGGCCACTCCACCCTCGCCGACTTTGAAGTAAAGAGCCTCGTCGACCTGGCTCTTCTTCCACCCGGCGCTGACCAGCACATCGTTGAGCGCTAAGTACCACAACAGCGGCGACTGCTCCAGCCCGTACAGGCTCTTCAGCAGCTTGCACACCCGGCCGGATCCATCGTGGAAGTAGTCCGGCTGGGACATGTACAGCATCCGTTCGAGCTTGCTCTGCAGGAAGGCATTCTTCATGTCGAGCTGCATCAGGTTGAGATCGAGGACGGCGACGATGCTGAGGAAGATCCTCAGCGTGACGTAGCTGCCCACCGGCGCGAACGTCTCGTCGTAGTCGGCGCCGTACACCTGTGTGAAGCCCTTCACGACCAGCCTCGCCTTTTCACGCTCGACGGTGTCGTCGATGTGGTACTTCGTCGTCAACACCCACCGGTTCTTCATGACGTTCACCCCCGGCGGGCGTTCGACCAGCTCCCAAGTGCCCATGTTGATGAGGCTACGAATCTCCTCCTCCATGGCGGCCTTCACCGCCGGGCCCTTCCAGCTTGCCAACGCCTCCTTCACCGTCATCGTCGAGATGTCCCAACGGTGCTCGGGGTCGGCTAGCATGTCGTGGTCGAGCTCTGGAAACTCCTCATCCTCCTCGTCGTCATCGTAAAGCAGGTCGTCGTCATCGTCCACGTCATACACCGTGGTGAAGGCAGCGGGGACGAAGAAGTCAGGCGGCCTCCGAAGTCGGCCTGAACGCCGTGGTCCCGGCTGGGCCTCCTCGGCATCCCCTCCATCGTCGCTGTCGTCGCTGCCCTTGGCGTCCTGCTGTTCCTCAGCCGGCGTCCCAGCCGACTGCTCCACTGCGGTCGGCTTCCCAGCCGACTTCTCCCCTGTGGTCGGCTCTCCTGCCGACGACCCGGTCGCCGACTGCTCCGTGATCGGCTTCACGGCAGCCTGCTCCCTTGTCGGCTGCTGCTCCTCGACCAGCTCCTCCCCTGTCGACTGCAATCCCACGTCGATTCGCCGCTCATCACGTCGACCACCGGCGATGCACTTGGGCGGCGCCGAAGGCAGCGTCCCACGACTCCCCTCATCGCCGGAGGCCGAAACCGAGGTCAGCCCACGCAGGTCGGCCACGAGGGGAGGGGCAGGGGTCAGAGGGTGAGGGGTAGGGGTGTGGACGTCCTCGACGTCCTCAGTAGCAAGCTCACCGACCTCGGCAAGCAGCGGCAGCGTTGCCGACGAGGTGTCAGAGGGCGGGGTGGACGGCGACCGGCCGGACACCGGCCCATGATCCGTTTTCCACTCGGCCAGCGACATCTCCTCGTAGAACACCACGTCCGACGTGGTGACCACTCGGTCAGTGGCGACGTCAAGGAGCTCCCAGCCCTTGCTCGCCGCCGACACGCCAAGGTGCAGGCCCCACCTGGCCTTCGGCTTCAGCTTCCCACCACGCTGCTGCTCAGGGACAAGGAACTGCGCCATGCAGCCCCACACCCGCGCCAGCGACAAGTCGGGCTTCTTCCCGGTCAGCAGCTGGTACGGCGTCGTCCCCGGCGGCAGCGTCGACCTCTCAAGGCAGTTGCGGATCCAGACGGCCTGCCGCAGAGCGAGGTGCCACCAGTGGTGCTGCACACCCATGTGCAGCAGCATTTTCCGCACCGACTCCACCACCGTCCTCATCTCCCGCTCCGCCATGCCGTTCTGCTGCAGGGTGTATGGGCAGGTCAGGTCGTGGACGATCCCCTTGTTGTTCATGAAGTCGGTGAACTGCTTCCCGAGGAACTCCCCTCCCCGGTCAGAGCGCAGCATCAACACCGACTTCTTTGTCTGCCGCTCAGCCACCGCCAGCCACTGTACGAACGCCGACAATGCATCGGACTTCTTGGCGACCGGCTTCACCCACACGTAGCGGGTCTTGCGATCCTTCAGCAGCAAGAAGTACAGGCTGCCATCCTTGGCAGTCACGCGGAACGGCCCGCACAGGTCGATGTGCACGACGGCCAGCACGTCGTCGGCGTCGAAGCCTTGGTCGGGGAAGGTGTGCTGCGCCAGTTTCCCGCTGACGCACGAGACACACGGGGAGTCGGCGTCCGTCGCCGACTTGAGGTCCAGCCCAATGGCGACCTCGTTCTTTGCCGAGCTCCGTATGGTGTCCCTGCCAACATGTGCAAGCCGTGCATGCATCCGGTCCGGCGTCGACTTCGTCTTCGAGACGATCGCCCGCAGAGCCACAGCCTCCGTCATGGGCGACGTCGACCTCGTTGAGCAGGGACGCAGGTCGGTGCAGAGGACACGCTCGGTGTACGTCGCCCGACCGAGCACCACTCCGGCCGCAGAGACGAGCATCATTCCTTCTCCGTCCTCCTGCAGCTTCACGCCGTGCTCCTTCAGCTGGCCGGCGGAAAGCAGGTTTGCCCGCACACCTGGAACGTATAGCACATCGGGGATGAGGACCTGCTTCCCGGCCTCCCCTTGCAGAGCGACGGTGCCGCGGCCCTGGACATCCTGCAGCGCCCCATTGAAGCCGCGCACATGCCTGATGGCGCCGCTCGGCTGCAGGTCGACGAAGGCTTCCTTCGTCCCCATCAGGTGGTGAGAGCAACCGCTGTCAAGCAGGACCACCGCCGGGTTCGCCTGCACAGCTGCCGCCACCGCCTGGAAGTCCTCCCCGGCCTCCGGTGCAAGAGAGATGGTCGGCTCCACGACGCCGACCAGCGAGCACGACGCCGTCTTGTCGTCTCGCCCCTTGCCGCCAGCAGGGGAGTTGGCGTCCTTCGCCGAAGTCGATGTCTTGGTCGACTGCTTCTCCTTGCGCGGCTGGTTTCCTCCACGGCGAGGACGACGGCTGCCAGACCTCCCACGGCCTCCCTTAGCATCGTCGTCGTCGGAGTCACTGCAGTTGGGACACTCAAAGGAGAGATGGTCGGGGTCGCCGCACAGCCAGCACTCCCGACGTCGACCTCCACCTCCACGTCCGCTGTCCTTGGTCGACTTCCTCTTGTCGGCCTCCTTGGCCGGCTTCCAGCCACTGCTACCACCACCGCCAGACTGCCCGCGCTGCCCCGGTCGGCCTCCTTGCTTCGCTGAGGTGACCAAGTTTGCCTGCGCCAAGAGCTTCTGCGACCGCTCAGCCTCCTGCATCGCCTCGTCCTGCAGGATATACGAGGTCAGGTTGTCCTCGTTGAGCGTCGCCCTTGTGCTCGGCGCCATAGACAGCCGCTTCAACAGGTTGTAGCTGCTAGTGAGACCCTGCATGACATGGGTGATGTACGACGCCGTGGAGTACTGCGAGCCGGCCATCCTGATAGTGGCGAGAATTCGCCGGGCTCGGTTGCAGTAGTCAGTCGCTGTCTCCTCGTCACCCATACGCAGGTGCGTCAGCTGTCCCTCCAGCTGGGCGATGAACAGGTCGTCGGTGACCTGGTACGTTGACTCAATGAAGTGCCACGCCCGGTGGCCGGCGTCGATGTACTCCCGGCACCACTTCAAGGCGATCTGCACGCCCGGCGAGCAGCACCGCGAGATGACCGTGAAGGTCAACAGCTGCACGGCGCGAAACTCCGCCTGTAAGTCGGGGTGGTGCTCATCCGGCGTCGCCACAGTCCCTCGGGCGAAGCCGATCAGTCCTGCCATCTCCAGCTGGGGCTCGATAGCTTCCTTCCAGGTGAGAATGTCGGGTCGACCGACCAGCGGAGGGGTGACCGAGATCCTGTCCGGCGTAAATTTGAAGTAGCCGTAGCTCGGTGCAATCCCGCCCGCCGTCACCTGGGTCGCCGACATCGGCGACAATCCACTTCGACGCCCACCAGTGTCGCCATGCGAGGAGCCTGCAGCCGCCGACGACTGCATCCCTCGCGCCTGAACGCCGCCGACTTCACCGGCGTGTATCACACCTCTCTGCCTCGACGTGCCTCCCACACTGCTGCCGACCTGACCTCCACCGGCGTTGACGCCCACATCGACGCCGCCGTCGTTGTTCACCGGTCGAGGAGAGGAAGGTCGAGAAGGAGGGTGCTCCGCTGCCCACACGGAGCGGAGTCCAGCTTCGACGACTGCCCACGGTATCGCCCCATACTCCTGGGCCTCATGGCGTCTCCTCGCATCCTCCAGCCGTCCTTCCAGGGTATCCATCACCTCGGCGTCGCCTACGCGCACGCTAGTGACTGCACGGCTGCCAGTCTACGAACACGATCGGTATGTGCTAAGTCAGCTAGACTGAACTACGTCGCGGTGTCCTCCACGTTCACCGCACCATGCGGAGATAACTGCTACAACGGGAGCTAGACTGCATGCTAGGCACGTGTGCTCGTGTGATCTCTGCGTTCTCTGTTCCTTAGTCGTTTTCCTTGTGCGCACACTACTTGCTAGTTCACGGGGAAAGTTGGCAAGAGTTCCACTAGGAAACGTTTTCAAACAATCGGTACAATGAAGTTGGCATAGCAAGACTACATCAGAGCAAGCATTCAGGTCGGCCAACTGCCAGCGCAGCTTGGTCGACCGCGTTCCAGCAAGGCAAGATCGACGGCGTGCCAACGTCGCAGGTCGACGGCGTGACATCGTTGCTCACGCAGGACAGCAGTGCACCCTGCTTCGCAGTTGCGCGCAGATGATTGGCGTGCAGAGTCTCGTCACCTGCACAGCGCACACACCACGTCAACCTCGAGCTGACGACTGCCTCTGATCCGCCACGACGACCTCGGGATACCACCACCGAGGTCGGGCTCGCCAACTTCGCCTGGGCGACCGTCGCACTCCTCCGCAGCACTTCGTCACCCAGGTAACCTGGTCGACCAGGCAACCACGTCGACCAGCAGCTCCTGTACGTGCCCGTCGACCTCCCAAGTCGACGACCACCTCCACGTCGACCTCACCAGGTCGACGACACCATCGGTCGACCTCCTCCAAGTCGACGTCCCCTCTGGTCTACCACCTCCACGTCGACCAGCACTCCTGGTCGACCTGCTCCTCGTCGACCAGCACAGTCGTCGGCCGACCACCCACGTCGGCCACCCGAGGCTGGCGTCACGAAGTTGACGCCCCGCTACTCGACGCCCAACTGCTCGGCGTCCTGAGTCAAGGTTGACGTCGGCCCCTCCTTCGTCGACCACCAGGTCCAGTCGACCACTAACAGGTCGACCAGCAGTCCGTTAGCCGACCGCCGAAGTCGGCTTCCCCAAGTTGACGTCACCAAGTTGACGTCCTCCGCAGGTCGACTCCCAAGTCGACCTCCCTGAAGTCGGCGCCAACCTGAAGTCGGCGCCCGTGCAGTGGTCCCCCGTGCAGGTCGACCTCCTCGTCGACCAGCTCACCCACTGCTGCAGGTCGGCTGCTCCCCTCACACCCGACCACGAAGTCGGCTCCGCCCAAGCGAGGACGGGGCCAATACCCAACTCCCGTTGACACGGAGTCTTTGGTGGATCGCCTGAGCTTCTCCCCGCGGAATATGGCGACCACCTCATACCAGTCAATGTCGTACTGCAGGAGGGAGCACCGCATCAGGTGCTCAAGGCTTGTGTCGCCGAGGCTGCCGCGGTCCCACGTCTTGATCAGGTGCTGCTTGCTGAAGCCGCGCTCACATTCAATCGTGCTCAGTGGTAGCACGGCGACAGACTGCCACATCCGGACGATGTTGGGGAACGACGCACGCCACGCCTCGCCGCGCAGCATGTTCTCCAGCGCCTGATGAAACTCCTCGCCGTTGTGCTGAGAGAACATGGTCGAGGTAAACATCCAGAGCTCCTGGCCGGCACGCTTGTAGTCAAACCCTGGTAGTGCGGAAGGGGATGATCATTGGCAGACGCTCATACATACGGGTAGGATTGGGAGGCATTAGTCCACAATACAGGGCCGGGTGATGAGTAGCAACAAGCGCGATGGGAAACAAGCTGGTGCAAAGCTGTTTACGCAAATCAATCACTAATACCCGCCCCATCTAACAAACACGCTTACCAGGCAGCTTGTGGTTGTACAGCTTGTGGAGCTGGCCAAGCCACTTCTTGAAGGACTCCAGCCGCTGGGTGTCGTCGGCCACATACGACGCCGTACGAAACAGCTTGGCGCCTTCGAGGAGGTTGAGGTCGCGCATGCGCCACTCCAGCTCCGCGTCCACTTTGCGGATGAACTTGAGCGAAAGCTCGAAGCACGCGGTTACATCACCGTCTGTCTCATGGCCTGGCAGGGGGCGTTCGTGCAGGGTGAATTCGAAGGAGACGGCGTTGCCACCCGCGTCCACGCCTTCCGCTTTCATCTGTCGCTTATCCATCTTCTGGTGAGCCTTGATGAAGTCATGCAGCTGCATCTTCTCTCCGCTGCCAAAAAAGTGACCAGGGGACCTGTCGAAGTAGCGCGTCTTCAGGCGCATCCGCGTCTGTTGTACAAGGTGCGCCACGAGGGTGACGTCCACCTGCACACACATAAGACATGCGGTCAGAAAGTGCATTGTAGGCGTGCGTGTAAGTACAACTGTGCTTGTCAATTGGTTACCTAACGTTGCTGAAAGCGCAGATTGAGCTGGTTGAGCTCCCATAGCACATCCGCGAGGAAGCGGATGAGCCAGTGGAACTTGAACGAGGTGACTACCTCGTACAAGTCCTTCTTGTAGTCCTTTAGCACGACAATGGCGGCAGGCAGAACGTCAAGGAACCGCTGGATCGCCTCGCCACGGGAGAGCCAACGCATGTCGTTTATGCCCTGCGCCTCCAGATTCGTTTGGCAGTAGACGCGCTGGAGATTCTGAAACTTGGTGTAGTCCACGCTGCTGCGGCCGATGTGCTCGGAGAAGGCACGCACCACGTCGTCCACCATGCCGAGCTCGGGGACTGCCTCCGCCGCATCCTTAGCTGCCAATGCCTCCCTGCGCATTCAACTGGAGCATGTTAGTACGGTTTGCGCGTCACTGATCCTGTGCTGGAAAAAACTCAGAATCCAACATGCTTATCTGTGAGCGACGCAGTGAGTTGAAGCCAGGTGTGGTATGCGCAGTCGCAGCCTCGCGACTAGACCGTTGTTCTTGCCGGTCATCACACTCGCCCCGTCCGTAGATATTCCAGAAATCCTCTGGAGATCCACCCCGATTCCTGTAAGGTACTGCACAACAGCGGAGGTTAGCGAGGCCGCATCGGCACGGTCCACGGTAATGAGAGTTAAAAACTCCGTTACCGGAGTTACCCCTTTGAAGAATGTTGCATACAGTATCAGGTGCTTGCCATTCACCCGGTCGGTGCTCTCATCCAGAAGAATCCCTATATATGGGGATTCCAGAAGGTGGCCGCGTTGAGTCTCTTGAAGGTAAGTGGAGGTTGCGCGCAGCATCTCTTTGAATCCGTAGCTGCGAGGACAACACACATGGTACACGAACACAAGTTACAGTAGCATCTGGTCAGCTTGAGTCACGGAACAAACACAAGCGCCACGAACACGCACTTACTCGGTGTAGTAGGCGCCGTACCCTCCAGACGGTGGAAGGTCCGGCAGTCCTTCCTTAGCCAGAAACCAGCACAAAGGAACAAACATTGCTATTGGCGCGTCAGCCTTGCAGATGAAGAGCGCGAGGTGGAGGCAGCGGATGATGTGCCGTGTAGCTGCATCAGTGCTCTGCCACCTTGTTAGTGTGGCTTGCTTCGCCTTTTCCGCGTCTGCTTTGGCCTCGTTTTCCAAGGCCTGCTTGTGGGCTCTGCTTGATGTGTGCGCGCGGATGCTCCCTAGCTGCATGTCTCGGGCACCCTCACCTCTGACGCCGTAGGCAGTGTGCGCGTTTGGATCCCCGTGCTTGATGCAGATGGCACATTTCAATGACGGCCTGCCGTTAGTCATGCGCATTAAGCGCAGCCAACTGAATTTCTTTGACCATTGCGAATCGAAAGTCGTTTTTACCAACTCATACTCAGCCTCTGCAGAAGCGGTTGGAGGCTTCGGCTGAGCAGGAGCAGCACGGCGTGGCGGTGATGCCTCTTGTCGTGGAGGAGGGGCGCCCCAGAGCCTCTGCTGCTTGTATGTCACGCCTACACGCTGTCGCTTCGCGGGCGCGGAGCTAATTGTGGACGGGGCTGCAGTGACCGACTTCGACGGGCCTTCGCCGCCATCGGGAACAAGCTCGAGAGACGGGTGTGGCTCCCGGGACTTTGGCGAGGCCGAACGCTCGCACGGGAAAACGGTGCCGACAAGAAATTCAGGGGATGGCTCACGCGCAGGCTGAGAGATAGGGATGCTATAGTTCTCAGCCAGCCGTGGTAACACACCGAGAACGGAGAGACCGTTCCTGGTGCTACCAGGCGGATCAGGCTCAGAGGCAGGCATTCGGAACAACAAACGAGAGGGAAACGAGAGAATGGCAAGAGCCTGAGAGACCCCTCGGGAATCACAAAGCCCAAGGCGCCTCAGGCAGCAAGGTTCCCTCGCTGGTAGGGAACTGCACGGCAATGGCTGCAAGGCCACAGTGACTGCCAGGTGGTGGAAACGACAGCACGTACCCCACCTGGCGCGCAATTTGCCTCCGTTGGCAGTGCGCGATGTTGCGTGACGCACGGAAACTGGGTGCGTTGGCTTCAATGTTGCTCAACGGACCAATCGTAGGTGTGCGGTGCCATTCGCCCTGAATGTACGTTGGCGCGCCAGTGGGTGTATCCAACAAATGGTCCAGTGGGACCGTGGAGCATTTCGTCGTGGCGCGGACTGTGGCGGAATCCGCGGTACGGAAAAGTTCCGGTAAAAGGGTAGTTGAACCCCTACCCTGATACAGTCAGTGTAACTGGAAAAGCTACAAGAGTACTTTTAAGCGTACGGTATTCTGATTGCACTAGGGTAAACATCTGCATACCCTGATTTGAAAAGGGTAACTGCCAAAAAGTGGCCTATGAGCAGGGCAAAAAGGGTAAAATACCCTTGAAATTTGGGCCCTGGTGGTAGGGGTGTTTGGTGGTACCCCTACTGGTTTAGGGGCACCCAAGAGTCGCAACACCTGTGTAGAACACTGACCTTCCACGTCTTTCAGCTTCCAGCTTTGAGCTTCTAGCTTCAACATGTGTCATCAGTTTTCCAGAAGAGTGTCACCCTGCTCAGCAGGCCATTCCCACTTGTTGTGAGCGTGATGCGCCTCGAAGTTTGCCTTGTTCTGTAACCAGCAGCTTTTTCTTCTCAGCGATTGCTCTGTTTGAGGGAGGAGAGAAGGCGTTCAGGTGGTGCCTTTTGAGGTTCGTTTTTAAAATCTCAATTCGGTACATCACAGCTGGCTGGACATCCCTCTGGCGCATTCATGAGTGAGTAAAACAACAGTAACAAAAAGAACTACACTACACAAGTGCTGCGGTACGTGCAAACCCAAGCAGCAAACTAGGCTCTACTGCTTGCTCCATTCCCCACATCCCTGTGCATTTCTAAGCTCATTTGCTACACTCATTTCGAATCGGTGAAATCGGGATCAATCACATCATTGGGGTTGCCGCCAGCAGCACTGCCGGGTGTAGGACCGGCACCAGCGCCAGGAGCAGCACCATCAGCACCGGGGGCCCCTCCTTGAGAGTAAACCGTTTGACCAAGCTGCATGGGATACGAGGCACACAACACAACAACAGTAGCACATTCTAAGTGAGAATCAGGCGACAGGCAACTAAGCACACGAAGTAGGCACCCAGACTCATCCGCCCAGACTCATCCGCCCTAGTCATCTTTGGCATATTCATCCCATGCTCAATTCTCAGTCAAAAGTTCCTAACCGCAAACCTTCCCGTCACTCCCCCCATTAACACACCATGGCACCACACACATCACCTCACACCCTCACGCTCAAGCACCTTTACATCTCCCATCCGCCACAGGTCTTAATCGCCAGGATGTTATCACCTCCGCAGGAACCTTCTCGGCAAGCTCCTTGAGCTGCTTCTCCGTCTGGTAGATCATGGAGTCAGCCTGGTTCTTCACATCCACAGCCTCTCTCTTCTCCTTGTCCTCCGCTGCGTTTTTCTCCGCCTCCTCAACCATCTTGGCTGCTGAGAGCGTATATGCCCTCTATACTCACCATGCGCGACTTGGGCACGTTCACTTCTCTGCGAGGGAGGGAGTGGAGTGAAATGGTGTGGAGAGGAGTAGGGCGAGGTTGGGCAAGAAAGAGCTACAGTATGTGATGTTTCAGAGCCTTCACTTCAATGAGAAGGGCTAGACTAGGAGATGAGACAGTACGGGTGTGCAATGGTTTACGGAAGGAGCTGTCCCCTTCAACCCTGTCCCAGGGAGCCTGCCTCCACCTCACTTGCAAGCACCCCTCTCTCACTTCCTCCTCAAAATCTCTTCTTCCGCACCTGAACCCCACTCGCGTGCCGCACTTGAAGTCGCATGTCAGCACCTGCACTGTGCGTGCGACCCTGTCCATCGCAGGGAGCCGGCGCCTATCTCATCTCACGGACTCACACTCACATGTATGCACTCATCTCTCAATTCCTCTCACCTGAACCCCACTCGCGTGCTGCACTTGAAGTCATACATAGGCACCTGCACGGTGCACCGCTGTCCCAGGGAGCGTTACCCCGCCTCACACTCAGATGCATGCACCCATCTCTCTCTTCTTCCTCACCTTCTCTTTCCCCGCACCTGAACCCCACTCGTGTGCTGCACTTGAAGTTGTATATCGGCACCTGCACTGTGCGTGCGACCCTGTCCCATCCCAGAGAGCCTGCACCTACCTCACTTCCCCCTCACCTAATCCCCACACGCGGCGCACTTGAAGTCGTAAATCTGCACCTGCACTGTGCCCCCTGTTCCGGGGATCCTGCCCCTATCTCACACTCGCATGTATGTATGCACCCATCTTTCACTTCCTCCTCACCTTCTCTTCCTCGTCCCCCTCACCTGAACCCCACGCGCGTGCTGCTCGAAGTCGTGGATCGGCACCTGAACCGTGCGCCTCTCACATGCACCCCTCCCACTTCCTCCTCCCCTTGAATTCCCCCTCACCTGAACCCCACGCGCGTGCTGCTCTTCAAGTCATAGATTGGCACCTGCACTGTGCGCCCCTCCCTCAGCCCCCGGCGCCAGACGGGCCCGCGAGTCCCACCAGCACCATGCCTTCGTTGTTCTGCCAAGGCAGGCACGTACGGGCGGGAGGTACGGGAGGGAGGTACGGGCGGGAGGTACGGGAGGGAGGTACGGGCGGGAGGTACAGGGAGGTACGTCAGCGATGAGGTCAGCGATGGGGTCAGCGCGATGGGGTTTCGTCGAGATTCAGAACGTCGATGAGGTCGACAGCTAAGATGGCGAGCCATACGAAGTGGAGAACTTCCGGGTAACAATTCGCAAACGGGTAACAATTCGGAAAGCAATCTAGGAGGAAACGATGGTCTATCGTGCGCGAATCTTTGAGCTGACAGTTGCACTGACGGTAGGCGATTACGCTGATCGTTGCGCTTATTGCTGAGCTGACGGTTGCGCCAGACATTTCGCGGATCGTTGCGCTGGTTGTTGCGCTGATCACTAAGCTGATAATCTCGGTGATAGCTGCGCTGATCGTTGCTGGCGTTAATTGTTACTATCAGTTGCACTGATAGCTGCGCATCATCCTACACCTCTCCTGAACAATGGAACGAGCTTCTACGAATGCGTGATCCACGATCACCGTCGATTATCAGTGAAATGACCTCCGTCGAACCTCAAACTATGGAGTATGGACTATCGAACTTCGAACAGCTTTATTTGCATATTATAGCGATTTGGCTATTTCAGTAGCTAATTCAGCCATATGCTTCACCTACCTATTTAAGTTGTTAACAGTACAAGGACTTCAGAGAGTTTTATACTAATATAAAGAGTTACAAGTCAGAACCGAGAGGTTTCTAAGCTAAGCTTTCTAAAGCTGCCGAAGCTAGGTGTAACAGCTGCACTTGCAACTCCATAGCAGCGACTCCGTAGCAGCGCCTCCAGAGCATCTTGAGCGATCAGCTTGATCCACTTGCGCCTCCACGGCAGCAGCTTGGCCGTCTTCTTGACCCCTCTTGGCCGTCAGAGGCAAATGCCCCTGACGTTACACCCACGCACCTCGATGAGGTGAGGGTCATTCGCGTGGGGTCTGCTTGGGAGGGAGGGAAGGAGAGGGGGAAAGTGCTTGGGAGGGGGGAAACGGTCAAAATTAGTAACGGGCAGATGAACAAATAAACATCTTGGGTCGGACGTATGTCAGAATGTTGTCAGAATGACGGCCAGCCGTCAAGAGGACGACCAGCCGTCATGAGGCATACCTGAACACACCTGAACCCATACTATCGCCCATGTGTGTGCCTAAATCGAGTGCCTAGGCTAACGCTCCTAATCGTCCTGTTACCCAGCACCACACCTCTTACAGGCCTGACGCTCACGGTGGTTGATCCCGTTCCCGCCAAATCTGCTTTGCAGAAAAGGGCGGGATGCGAGGGGAAGTCAAACTCCTCCGACCTCGCTCCAACTCCTCGCTCCAACTCCTCGCTCCAGCCACCTCCTCGCTCCGCAATCCACGTTTGTGAAGCCTCCTCGAGACGCCTGCACCACAGACGACAACAAGAAGGACTTCAGATATTTTGAAAGCGAAACGGCAGAGAGCAGCGCGAAAGGCGACAGCGAAGTCGACGAGCAGAAAGGCGACGAGCAGAAATGCGACGAGCGAAAATTTGACGACGGGACGAAAGAGACCATTTACAGCAGAGAGAAGTGCCTGCACGCACCGTGCGCCGCGGTGCGCCGTGCTCCGCCGATGCCCCGCCGCGCGCGCGTAAGACGTCCCCGAAGAAGCGTCGCCACGCGGCCCGCGAGCTCCCATCCGCGCATCGCCTGCGCTAAAGAAGAGCGCACACAAAAATAAGTTAGATACTTTGAAAAGGAGAAAAACTTCAATGAAATCGACGAAACTTACCAGGCAAGGGAGACCACATCCCCGTGTTACGTCCTTTGCTCGCCGTTGTCCCCGCGAGCTCCCACCCGCCTCTGCCGCTGCGCTAAGAGAGAGCAACAGACAGAAAAGGTTAGTTTCCGAAATGAAGAAAAAACTTAATGAAATTGACGGAACTTACCAGAGAAGAGGAGAGGGAGAGCTAACTCTCCTTTACCTCCCTCACTCGCTGTAGTTGCTACCGTATTGCCTGCTCCTCCTACTGCACTAAGAGGAACACGACAAAAGGAGTTAGATATCCGGAAAAGGAAGCAGCAAAACGAGATGAGACAATTCTTACCTTGAGGAAGCAAGCCGCCGGGGCTTTTACCGTTGAAGTGGAACTTCGGTGTAGTCGTTGCCGCCGGATGGGGCAGTGCAGCGGGAGGTGGGCGGAGAGGGAATGGGCTGGGGCTACCCTTCCCCCTCCGCCGCCCCGCTCGCACAATCCCGACGCTTCTTGTCTTGCTTGAGTTCTTGAAACACTGCCCACACATGGCGATGCCACACGTCACGGCACCAAGGCGGAGAGGAGCGGAAATTGACGAGCAGAAAGGCGACGACGGGACGAACAGCAGAGAGAAGCGCCGCCAAGCGCCGTGCTCCGACGCGCCGCGCCGCGATGCGCCGCCGCGCGCCCGTGAGGCGTCCCGGAAGAAGCGTCGCCACGAGTTCCCTCCCACCCGCTTCCGCTGCGCTAAGAGAAAGGAACACACAGATAGAAATTAGTTTCATAATCAAGGAAAAAGCTTAAACGGAATTAGACTGCACTTACCAGGTAAGGGAGAAAACCTCCCCCCCCGTTACCTTGCTCGCCGCCGTCCCCGCGAGTCCCCACTCCCGCTTCCGCTGCGCTAAGAGAAAGGAACACAAAGATAGAAATTAGTTTCATAATCAAGGAAAAAGCTTAAACGGAATTAGACTGCACTTACCAGGCAAGGGAGAGAACCTCCCCCCCGTTACCTTGCTCGCCGCCGTCCCCGCGAGTCCCCACTCCCGCTTCCGCTGCGTTAAGAGAAAGGAACACAAAGATAGAAATTAGTTTCATAATCAAGGAAAAAGCTTAAACGGAATTAGACTGCACTTACCAGGCAAGGGAGAGAACCTCCCCCCGTTACCTTGCTCGCCGCCGTCCCCGCGAGTCCCCACTCCCGCTTCCGCTGCGCTAAGAGAAAGGAACAGACAGAAAGAAGTTAGTCTCACAAACAAAGGAATAACTTAACGAAATAAGACGGTGCTTACCATGAAAGCCGCTCGGGCTTTTACCGCTGTAGTCGTTGCTGTAGGAGGTCGTTGACGGTCGTTGACGGTCGGTGTAGTCGCTGTCGCCGGATGGGGCAGTGGAGCGGGAGGGGGGGCGGAGAGGAACGGGCTGGGGCTACCCTTCCCCCTCCGCCGCCACCCTGCCCCAACCCCGCTCGCACAACCCCGCAGACTTGTCTTGCTTGAATCACTGCTCACACATGGCGATCCCACACGTCATGGCATCACGGCAGAGAGTAGACGAGCGCGAAACGAAACGAAACGAGAGAAGACGAAACGAAATGCGACGGCGAGACGACGTGATGCGACGACGAGACGAAAAAGAAATGTTACACCGCGCAGCGCCGCCGAGCGCCGTGAGACCCGCGCCTTCGCCCGCGGGTCACGCCTTCGCCCATGAGACGCGCATTGGCCCGTGAGACACGCCTTCGCGGCCCGTGAGTCCCGTCTTCGCCGCGAGACACGCCGTGCGCCATTCCTCGCCATGCAACGCCACGCAGCGCGTCCCCATGCGTCGCCACCGACGGACCGTCCCGTGCCTCTGCAAGTGCGAATAAGAGCCGTCAGTACGAACGAAACGAAATCGTTGGGAAGGAGAACGAGAGAAAACTGCAGGAAATGTCCTCGCACGTTACCTCAGCTCGCGCGAGGCGCTACTAGTAGCGAATCGGAGAGATCCGCTACCGTCGGCGACAGACGAAGTGAGACACGCCATCGATGCCGTCCGCTTGCGACGTCGCCGTCCGCTCGCGACGTCGCCGTCCGCTTGCGACGTAGAGTGAGACACGCCAATCGTCGCAGCCAAGCGCCGTGAGTCCCGCCCGTCGCCATGTGGTATTCCGTCACCATATGTTTCTGCAGGAAGCAAACGAACAAGTTAGAACGTGCAATTTAAAATCATGTAAACTGAATTGCCACTAAACTGCATGAAGGGTCCTTAGCGCGTTACCTCGGTTCGAGAGAAGCTGCTGGGTGGGCCGCCGCCGTTCCCTCGCGACGGTAGAGTCCTCCTCGCCGTCGCCTCGCTGACGGCAGTAGACACCTCTCCTCCAACGGTGGTAGAGTCTTCGTCTTATTCCGCCAAGACGGTCGCCGAGTTCTGCAGGGAGAAAGGCAGCACTTTAGTAATGAGAAAATAAAGCGAGAATGACGAGAAGTTAACTTCACAACGGGAAAGGCAGCACAGCGGGAAGTTACAATCTTTACCGCAACGTCTAACCGAACGGCGAACGCTTCATCTCTTCGCATCTCGATGACGCAAATCTCGTCGGCGTTTCCCGGCACGTCCGCGAGGCCTCGCGACTTGCATCCGCGACTTGCGCCAACGGCGATGGTAACGACAAGGACGACACGGATCCGTTGGCGAGGCCTCGCGACTTGCGCGTGGTAACGGCGATCATCACTTGGGCTTGAGCGCGTCCCGTCCCAAGCTTGAAGCGCAATAGAAGCGCCAACGACGGTAGATAGAAGCTCTCATCCGGTATTGACGTGCCGCCGAAGCGCCTCCCCGACCAGAAACGCCGTTCAGCTTGATAAGAAGGTTGTCTGCAGAAAGGCAAGAAGAGCGCGTTAGAAGGAGAAATGGATGGAAAAAAAAAAGTCGAGCGGTTTTGAGCTGATCTGAAGAAGAGGTAGTTTTTACCTCCACACTTGACGCTCGCTTGGATAAGTCTTCGCGGCTGAAGCCTCCGCGATTGAAGCCTCCGCGGTTGAAGCCTCCGCGGTTGAAGCCTCCGCGGCTCCAGCGCAATTGAAGCGAACGCCGCGGTTGATAAGTCTTCGCGTCGCCAAGATGGTCGCAAGGATGGTCTGCAGGAAGAAAAGAAAAGGTTAGAGCTGAACGTTTCAGAGAAATTAGGAAACGTAGAGCTGAATCTGGATCTAGTCAATTAAGAAGACGAAGCAAAGTTACCCCAACCCCAACGGCAAGGACCCGTTGGCGACGGTCGAAGCGCCATCGGCGACGATAGTTGGCGAGGCTCCGGCTTTCGGGTCGAAAGCTCCAAGATTGAGCTTTTAGGTCGAAGCGCTAACGGCGGTCGAAGCTCCTATCCGCGTCCGGCTTGATTTGGGGTCTGAAGCGCCTCCCGCAGTCCAGGTGGACTTGGGCTTCAGGTTTTTGAGTTTAAAGTGCTACCCCCCGCGATTGATAGCGACTAGAAGGTCGTCTGCAGAAAACGTAGAGCGAGTTAGAGATATGCTCGGAAACACGTTAAAAGAAATTGCAGAAAGAGATTGCAGAAGTCGAATGATCGGTGGTTCACTTACCTCGAGTCCGCCGACTCTGTCGGGTAGGCCGTCTTCGTGTTGGCGTGAAGCTTGGGTCAGATCTTGAGGTCTGAGCCTGAAATCGTCGCCGTGTCGCGGTGTTGTAGACGGCTCAAGTGTGAGTGTCGGCACTTCAAAACTCGTCAAGACGGTCGCCACGAGGTCTGCGGGAAGAAAGCAGCAGGTCAGTACTTGAAAAATGTTGAACGACATAGAAGCTTAACCGGCGAAAAACGGTTTCAGGAACAAGTTGAAATAAGTTTGCACTTACCTCCAGTCCGCTGTCCTCGTGTTGGTTGGAAGATTGGGTCAGATCTGAGCCTGAAATTGTCGCCGTGTCGCGGTGAAACCGGTCTTGTAGAAGGCTCAAGCGTTAGCGTCCACGCTTCAAGTATTGGCGTTGGCACTTCAAGAGGTCTGCGGGAGGAAAAAAACAAATTAGGACTTGAACTATGTTGAAACAATCAGAGCTTAACTTGTCAAAATCGGTTGCAGCAAGAAGTTGAAAATAATGGACTTACCCTCTCCGTCTAGCTGGGTGGTCTTCGTGCTGGTGAAGATCTAGCGGGTGAAGACCTTGAAGTGAAGATCTTGCAGGTGAAGAGCTTCATGAAAACCGGGTGTCGTAGACGGCTCAAGTCTCATTGTCGACGCTGCGAGTCTCGCGAAGTTGGTTGCAAGAGGTCTGCGGGAGGAAAACAACAGATTAGCAGCTGAACAATGTTGAATAAATTAAAGCTTAACCTGATAAAAATGGTTGCAGCATGAAGTTGAAAAGAAAAAAGGACATACCGTCTGGTGAGACTTGTCTTGACGGCAGCAAAGAGGAAGGCCGCGCCAGCAGGGGAGGCTCCATGCGACACCTGAAGCTCTTGAAGCTCTTGCAGCAGCGATCTTGGAGCGGAGTGATTTCGCCATCAAGATCTCGCTGTGAAGATATCGCCGTGGAAGTGTTTGGCAGAGAAGATCCCGCCATGCAGATGTTGCGGTGATATCTTGTATTCGTCGCGGTGAAAATATTTCCGCGAAAACCCGGTTTTGTAAATGGTTCAGCCTTAGGCACTTGGCAGCTCGCTCAGACTCGACTCTAATCTACCCAACCCACCCCATCCACGCTAATCTACACGAGACTCTAATCTACGCGACCTCACGCTGCTTCATGCCTAGGCTTTCCCCATTTACTAGCCGGGTGGCTCAGATAGCTTTGGTTTGCTCCGAGGTAAGTCGGAAGTCCAAAAAGAGTTTAGTAAGTTGGAGCTTCACTGGAATTCCTTGATTGATTTCGCGAAGGAAAAAACTGGGCCATGAATGGGACTTTACAGAGCAGAAGTGAGAGCGAGGAGGATGAAGTATGGTTCGGTGCCGCGGATGAACGAATTCAATTCAACGAAAACCTGGGAGCCTGTTGTTTAGCGGCGCTACGGCGCGAAACAGTGCTGTTCCAACCCAGATGTGATGGGTCAACGCAGTAAGAAGTGGCTGAAAGTAATCCCTGTCAGGATGGGTCAATCCACAGTGGCGAATTCAAAATCCCCGCCTAGAAGTTGCATTGACAGCATTGGCGGCTTCACAAAACTGCCCGAGTCGCATGGGTTGGCAATGTGAGGCGGCCCAAACTTCTGAACCGACCCCAACCAGCCCAAGCTGTACACCTCTTTCACAAACTGACTGATTTTTTAATTCTGGTTTGTGTTTGCTCTTTCTGCAAACGAATCTGCTGAGGGCGCGTATTGTGTTGGAGAGGTTGGTTGAGGGCTGTGGGTTTGTGCTAGGGCAGGCTTGAACTTTCTAAGAGGTAGTGGACGTGGCGCTTTTCTAAATTATATCGAGTTTTTTGCCTGAGTTTGGCGTAAGGTGCGGGACGGCGGAGGGATAGTTAGGACTTTCCTGCGTGGCGCGGAAAGTTTAGGCTGTTTGCGCAAATTAATTTGCCCCTACGAACCTTACCTGGGCAGCTGAAAATACAAATGTGATCGTGAAGGCATTTCGCAAGCCAATAGCAATGAAGTGTGTTTCCACGGCAGCACGGAATATTTCTGGCACCCTTCCGCAAACACCAAGGCATACCCAATCTCACATTTCCTTTCTCCAACCTCTCAATTCCTATTTCCACCTGCCATACCTAATTCTTAGCTTGGTCTCTCCCTCCATATTCCAGTTCACTGTTCTTAGCTAGTTCTGTCAGATCTAGGTAGCGAACATTAGTCCTCCCGTCAGCGAGCATAACCTACCGTTCATTTTCTTACTGTCGCTTATTTGTTCTCGCTGAATCAGAGTTAGTTACTAGAATGTGGAGCCTCAGGTCTTGTTCACGGTAGCTTCAAGTTAGATCTCAGCACCGTAGCTAGTTTCGATAGCGCTTTCAGTCGTACTTCCGTATTCTACGCTTCACACATCTAGTGCGGTAACTAGTGCCAAATCGTAGGAAGTTAATGTTATTTGCTCTCTCCAGATTTGAGCCAGTTTTTGTAAGACTTGACGATTTTTGTAACGCATCTACGCCTGGAGTATCAGCGTCGATTTGCGGTCACATTCGAAACATTTATTTATAGAGGCCGTTTTTAGTCTATATATGAATATATATATATAAAAGCGGAGACATTTGTAATGTTTATTCAGGGAGACATATCGTGCAAACGCATAGATACAACCGCTGATCGTTGCGCGACAGTGGAGAAAGGGATGCCGGGAGGGAGATGAGAGGTAAGCGAGCGGAGGGAGGGGGAATGGACGGGCGAAAGTCCTTATTGCGGCGCTTAAGGGGAATCAAAAAGGAGAGGACTGGCGAGAGTGACAGGCGGAGTGGCCTATTTCTCCTTATTTTTCCCTTTTCCCTCCCTTCGCTTTCCTCCACATACCCCCACTTCCCCTGACTTTGCGTAGAAACGTCACGCATCCCTTATTCCCACCTCTCTCCCTTCGTGACACCCAAGCTGTCTCCTCTATTCCCCGTTCTCCCCTCATCTACCCCGCTCTCCCCTCCTCTCACCCCCTCTCTCCTTCCTCTTCCCCCCCTCTCCCTGCACTCCCCTGCGTGCATCGCTTATCTTCCCCCGTGCACTTGCTCCTTTTTTTTGCACACCCCCCCTCTCCATCTCCCCTCCGCTCACCCCTCATTCCAGCCCTCTCCCCCTCCCCTCCTCTTCCCCCACCCCCCACGCACCCCTCATCTCCCTCCCCCCCTCTCCCCTCCCCGCCCACCGCCCCCTCATCACCCCTTGCAACCATGACTCCTCACCCAACACGCACAGATGTTTCAGAGGAACCTAAAATCACGACTGAGGGATTGAGAGTGAGCCTTGTAAAGCAACAAGACACAGCTCACTCCATGGACTTGGATGCAGATGGTGCCTGTGACTCCCATGTTCCCATCTCCCTCATCTCCCTCCCCCCCTCCCCTCCCCCCCCCCCACCGCCCCGTCATCACATCTGAATTCGCGAATGAGGGAGTGAGAGTGAGTCCGGTGAAGCAATAAGACAGAGCTCACTCTATGGACTTACATGCAGGCGGCGCCTGTGACTCCCATGTTCCCATCCCATCCCATCATGCACAGTAACAAATGCCCCAGGATATCGGAAGGGCAAGGACAGGCTTGCTTGCAAACGCACTGCTAAAATAAAACAAAAAGGTTCCGAGTTGCGGCTGCTGTCCGTCCAACCGATCAATTGAAAGAGTCAGGAATCTGATTTCTGATGTGTCAGATTAATGGTTCCAAAGCAGCCAGCTTCACTTGTTTGAAGTTAATTTCTTCCAGACAATTTTGACACTCATAGAACGTTCTACTACCACGCTATAGGTAGCACTCTACCAGAACATAATTAGTCAATACTAATGATACCAGCAATGTGCATGCTTCACAGCTGCTTATTCCTACATCGATCAATGCTTGGCTGCTGTGTGCCCCTGGTCAATGGAACAACTAGAGTTGATATTACGCAAGCTCTTTCTCTCTTGCGAAGCTACCCTCCTTGTAATTCTGAGATGTCATCTTGACCCATAATCTTTCAATCGCGCTTGCCTCCATCCCCTTGTGTCGAAGCCATCGCCACCATAAGGGGTCCAGCCATGGGCCCCCATGGACACGTCACACAAGAGAAAGTAGATGATATTTGTGAGATGCACCGAAAGCAGGCATCTCCATTCCAACCCCCAGGGGGGAGCGGAGGGAGGGGGCAGTCATGTCATGGGGCATGACACAACCTCATGTCATCTGAGGCACCTCAAGACGAGGCATCTCCACTCCACCTCTTAGGGAGGATCATTCTCAGCTAACCACTGCTCCCACTACTGAGATTCTGCAGCAATAACCGTTTCTAGGCCATCGAAATTATTCCTAAGCACCCCAGCAGAAACGAAGGTAGCCGAGCCGAGCACTGCCCCTAATACTGCTCCCCTTCCTTCCATCCTGACTACCTCTCTGCTCCCTTGATCTTGCTCCTATTCGCTTTTTCTCGCCCCCCTTTCCATCCAATTCCACTCGCCTATATCTCCTTGCATCAGCTGCATTCATCACGAAAAGAGACGACATCTCCAGGTCATGGGGGATCGACTCGACTCCAGACAACAAAATCCTGCCCATACTCCTGCTCCCTCCTTCCTCCTGCCTTTCTGCTCCCTCGCCCTTGCGCCTTTACCTCCCCCCATATTCATCTTGCCACCACCACCCCCCCCATATTCCTCGTGCCTCTACTGCCGTGCATCAGCAGCGTTTATCACAAGAAGAGACGACTCTCCAGGTCATGCGCACCGTCCCCCGGCAACCCACCCGCCCCATCCCTTGCACCTCTACCTCCCTTCCTATTCCCCTCTCCTCTGCCCCCACCAGGTATCCCCCTATCGCCGTGCATCAGCTGCGCTCATGACCAGAAGAGACGACATTTCCAGGTCATGGAGATCATCAACCGGCAAACCACCACTGCTGTCTCGCCCCTGGCCCCTCTACCTCCCTTCTAGCTCTCCTGTCCTCTGCCCGCCTGGAATTCCTCCATCGCCGGGCATCAGCAGCGTTCATCACGAGAAGAGAAGACATTTCCAGGTCATGGGGGTCATCAACAGGCAAACCACCCGCGCCGCCCCTCCCACTCCCCGCCCGCCCTGGACTCATCAGCACATACTTGATCGACTGCGCAAAACTCTCCACACTTGCCCACCACCGGCCACTCTCCCTGCCCCCCATTCCCTCTCCCCTGCTCCCACTTCCCCCTCCCTACTTCCCTCTCCTCTCCCCTTATTCCCCTCTCCTCGGTCCACCTGGTAGGCCCCTACCGCCTCGCATCAGCTGCGTTCATGACAAGAAGAGATGACATCTCGAGGTCATGGGGGTCATCAACAGGCAATCCACCCGCGCCGCCCCTCCCACTCCCCGCCCGCCCTGGACTCATCAGCACATACTTGATCGACTGCGCAAAACTCTCCACACTTGCCCCCCACCGCCCACTCTCCCTGCCCCCCCTTCCCTCTCCCCTGCTCCCACTTCCCCCTCCCTGCTTCCCTCTCCTCTCCCCTTATTATTCCCCTCTCCTCGGTCCACCTGGTAGGCCTCTACCGCCTCGCATCAGCTGCGTTCATGACAAGAAGAGATGACATCTCGAGGTCATGGGGGTCATCAACCGGCAAACCACCCGCCCCGCCCCTCCCACTCCCAGCCCGCCCTGGACTCATCAGCACATACTTGATCGACTGCGCAAAACTCTCCACACTTGCCCCCCACCGCCCACTCTCCCCACCCCTCCCCGAACTCGTCCCCCCTCCCCCCACACTCAGCCGCAGGCTTCCAAACCCGACCCCCGACCGCCTCCCGCTGGCAGTCACAGCAGCGGGAACCGCCGCAGAGTACCCATCGACCAGCAGAGCATCGTCCTCGTTAAGGTTGTCAAAGAGGTGGGCGTCGAGGCGGAGTCGCTCCTCCATGGTTTGGAGCACCTCGCGCATGGTCGGGCGGCTGGACGCGTCTTCTTGCACGCAGTCGCGCGCGATGGTGCCGAGCTCGATGAGCTCTGATTGGTTGAAGTAGCCGCCCAGTTGCGGGTCCACCATGAGAGGCATCATCTGGGCATCTTCCAGGAAAGGGGCGGCCTGTGAGAGGAGGGAGGGGGGCGGTGGGGAGGAGGGAGACGGTGGGGAGGAAGCAACAGGGAAGTGAAGATGGTAGGGAAAGGAAGCGACTTAAAGTAGCCGCCCAGTTGTGGGTCCACCATGAGAGGCATCATCTGGGCATCTTCCAGGAAAGGGGCGGCCTGAGGGAGGAGGGAGGGAGACAATGGGGAGGAGGGAGACAATGGGGAGGAGGGAGACCATACGGAGGACGAAAATAGGGAGGTAGAGATGGTGAGGGGAAAGGAAGCGAGTTGAAGTAGCTGCCCAGCTGCGGGTCCACCATGAGAGGCATCATCTGGGCATTCTCCAGGAAAGGGGCGGCCTGAGGGGAGACGAGGAAAAGTACACGAAAGGTAGCAGGGATGGAGCAAACAGGGAAAGGAAAGAAAGGGAGATGGAATGGAACCATGAGGGTCGAACCGGACCCATACACGTCCACCTTCTCCATCTGCATGCTTGCCTCCCACTGCACGCATCACACTCCACCCCATTGTACCGCACTGCACTGTGACTGACTCACCACGCTGGTGATGTGGACCTCCTTCATGGCCTTCTGCCCCGTGATCAGCTCCAGCAGCACCACTCCGAACCCATACACGTCCACCTTCTCCATCTGCATGCTCGCCTCATACTGCACGTACCGCACTGCACCACAGTGTTACCAGACTATACCGCATTGTACCGCACTATACCGCACTGTATCGCACTGAATTGCACTGCACCGCACTGTACCGCACTGCACCGTGACTGACTCACCACGCTGGTGATGTGGACCTCCTTCATGGCCTTCTGCCCCGTGATCAGCTCCAGCAGCACCACTCCGAACCCATACACGTCCACCTTCTCCATCTGCATGCTCGCCTCATACTGCACGTACCGCACTGCACCACAGTGTTACCAGACTATACCGCATTGTACCGCACTATACCGCACTGTATCGCACTGAATTGCACTGCACCGCACTGTACCGCACTGCACCGTGACTGACTCACCACGCTGGTGATGTGGACCTCCTTCATGGCCTTCTGCCCCGTGATGAGCTCCAGGAGCACCACTCCGAACCCATACACGTCCACCTTCTCCATCTGCATGCTCGCCTCACTCGCCTCCCCCCTCTCTGCCCTCCCCGCCCGCGACTTGCGCTGCCTCCGCGGATTCTCCTCAAAGGATGACGTTGCTCCGCCGCTGCCTCGAGCAATGCCGAAATCGGACAGCTGCAGAGAGGGAAGCAGGGGACGAAAGGGCGGGTGGCGGGGAATAACAGGGAATGTCGCAACGAGGGAAGACAGGGCGGTTGACGAAGATTGAGATGATCCTACTTCACCCTCGCTTGGCCCTCTCGTCCCCGCCCATAACTTGGCGCTGTCGCCTTGGATTCTCCTCCAAGGATGACGTAATGAGTCGTGTTTTGAGTCGACTCAAAACTCGACCCTCACCGCCCATAACTTGGCGCTGTCGCCTTAGATTCTCCTCAAAGGATGACACTGCACCACAGCTGCCTCGAGCATGCGCAGCACCAGAAGGGGAGGCGGCATGCGATGCGCACCAAAGGGGACCATAGCGGGAGAGAGGACGAGATGGCCATGAGTTCATGTCACGAGATGACCACGGCCATGAATTGCAGCATACCTTGGCGCTCATGTCACGCCACGTTCACTGCAGCTCACTGCACCCCACCTTGTGCCAGACCCTACACACCTTGGGGCTCATGTCATGGGCGAGCAGGATGTTGGAGGAGGTCACAGCACGATGCACCAAGGGAGGCGACACGCTATGATGGGATGAACCTACTCCAAGGCACACGCCACGTTCACTTCTAGTTACTGCAAGGTGCCATCAACACCCACATACCTTGGCGCTCATGTCGTGGGAGAGGAGGATGTTGGAGGAGGTCATGGCACGGTGCACGAGGGGAGGAGACATTGGGATGTGAGATGAACATATTTGAGGGCACTACAATGTTGCCAAGCCACGGTGCATGCAGCTGTGCTCACTGCTGTTTACTGCGGCTTACATACCTTGGCGCTCATATCGTGGGCGAGCAGGATGTTGGAGGAGGTCACAGCGCGGTGCACGAGGGGGGGAGACACGCCGTGATGCAGATACTCCAAGGCACACGCGATGTTCACTGCTATGCTCACACGCGTTTCCCAGGGAAGCGGTTCCAGCTCCGGCCCTATCGGTTGGGGGGTGCAGGGTGGGGTTGGGACGGGGAGAGAGAGGGGTTGAGGGTGGTGCAGTGCAGTGGAGATACTCCAAGGCACACGCCACGTTCACTACAATGCTCACACGCGTTTTTCAAGGAAGCGATTCCAGCTCCGGCCCTGGTGGTTGGGGGGTGCAGGGTGGGGTTGGGACGGGGTTTTTGAGGCGCCTCAAAGTGATTCCAGCTCCGGCCCTGGTGGTTGGGAGTGGGGAGGTTGCTGGATATGTAGAGTTTGTGTGAGGGCTCCATCCATAAAAGAAAGAAAGAAAGAAAAAAAGAAAAAACACCAGGAACAAGAATGTACTCACTGTGTAGGCGGTCGAAGAGTGTGCCATTAGAGAGGTACTCATAAACGAGGATGCGCTCGCCCTTGCCCACACAGTACCCCAGCAGGTTCACCAGGTAGCGGTGCCGTGCCCTTGCCAGCACCTCCACCTTGCACTTGAACAGAAATTCACCCAGCTCTGTGATGAGGGAAGGGCATGGGTCAGGAGGTTAAGCGGTAGGAAGGAGATGGGTTCAGTGCGATTCCGCACCAGCAGGTTCACGAGGTAGCGGTGCCGTGCCCTTGCCAGCACCTCCACCTTGCACTTGAACAGGAAATCGCCCAGCTCCGAGGGGGAGAGGATGAGGGGAGAAGTGACAGGTGGAAAGGAAGCTAGATTGGTTCAGTGCGGTAGCTTCGAAAGTACCCCTACATGTTCATGTGGTAGCGGTGCTGTGCCCTCGCCAGCACCTCCACCTTGCACTTGAACAGAAATGCACGCATGCATGCACCAAACATAGCACTCACTCTGCGGGTCATGGGCTCGCTTGATGATGGCTCGCGGGTCAGACTGGTCTCGGAAAAAGTCCTCTGCCAGGTATACCATGCCAAAGCTTCCCCGCCCATAGATTGTGGTGAAGTTTCGTGTTGCCTTCTTGATCTTTGACAGGCTGTACTCCGTTACTGGCACTGCATGGTTGGGGCAACGACAGGAAAGGGGACACCACTGGCATGTGAGCTGCAATGCAAGGTACACCTTGCCAAAGCTGCCGCGACCGTGGATGGTGGTGAGGCTTTGTGTTGCCTTGTTGATCTTGGATTGGCTGTACTCCGTTACGGGCACTGGCGGGGTGGAGAAGGGAGGAAGGGTGGAGATAACTGGCATGTGAGCTGGATTGCAAGAGACGGCTGCGCTGAAACAGACGGCTGCCGCGGCCGTAGATGGTGGTGAAGTTGTGCGTTGCCTTGTTGATCTTTGACAGGCTGTACTCTGTTACTGGCACTGGTGCGGTGAAGAGAGTGGGAGAGAATAGGAGAAAACGGAAGGAGAAACAGCAGGAACAGCTTCAGAGCTGAATATCAAGAGATGGTGGTGAAGTTGCGCGTTGCCTTGTCGATCTTTGACAGGCTGTTCTCTGTTACTGGCACTGGTGCGGTGAAGAGAGTGGGAGAGAATAGGAGAAAACGGAAGGAGAAACAGCAGGAACAGCTTCAGAGCTGAATATCAAGAGATGGTGGTGAAGTTGCGCGTTGCCTTGTCGATCTTTGACAGGCTGTACTCTGTTACTGGCACTGGTGCGGTGAAGAGAGTGGGAGAGAATAGGAGAAAACGGAAGGAGAAACAGCAGGAACAGCTTCAGAGCTGAATATCAAGAGATGGTGGTGAAGTTGCGCGTTGCCTTGTTGATCTTTGACAGGCTGTATTCTGTTACTGGCACTGGTGCGGTGAAGAGAGTGGGAGAGAATAGGAGAAAACGGAAGGAGAAACAGCAGCAACAGCTTCAGAGCTGAATATCAAGAGATGGTGGTGAAGTTGCGCGTTGCCTTGTTGATCTTTGACAGGCTGTACTCTGTTACTGGCACTGGTGCGGTGAAAAGGGGAGACCATGTGACCTCTCAGGTCAGACCTCAATGACTCGAGCAGAGGAGGCAAGGCTCATGGCACATACACTGGTCAGCGCGGTTAGAGCCGTCAGAGTGTTTTGAGACGTCTCAAAACACTTCTTCAAACTCATTGCACATACACTGGTCGGCGCGGTTAGAGCCGTCAGAGTGTTTTGAGACGTCTCAAAACACTTCTTCAAACTCATTGCACATACACTGGTCGGCGCGGTTAGAGCCGTCAGAGTGTTTTGAGACGTCTCAAAACACTTCTTCAAACTCATTGCACATACACTGGTCAGCGCGGTTAGAGCCGTCAGAGTGTTTTGAGACGTCTCAAAACACTTCTTCAAACTCATTGCACATACACTGGTCAGCGCGGTTAGAGCCGTCAGAGTGTTTTGAGACGTCTCAAAACACTTCTTCAAACTCATTGCACATACACTGGTCGGCGCGGTTAGAGCCGTCAGAGTGTTTTGAGACGTCTCAAAACACTTCTTCAAACTCATTGCACATACACTGGTCGGCGCGGTTGGAGCCGTCAGAGTGTTTTGAGACGTCTCAAAACACTTCTTCAAACTCATTGCACATACACTGGTCAGCGCGGTTAGAGCCGTCAGAGTGTTTTGAGACGTCTCAAAACACTTCTTCAAACTCATTGCACATACACTGGTCGGCGCGGTTAGAGCCGTCAGAGTGTTTTGAGACGTCTCAAAACACTTCTTCAAACTCATTGCACATACACTGGTCAGCGCGGTTAGAGCCGTCAGAGTGTTTTGAGACGTCTCAAAACACTTCTTCAAACTCATTGCACATACACTGGTCGGCGCGGTTGGAGCCGTCAGAGTGTTTTGAGACGTCTCAAAACACTTCTTCAAACTCATTGCACATACACTGGTCAGCGCGGTTAGAGCCGTCAGAGTGTTTTGAGACGTCTCAAAACACTTCTTCAAACTCATTGCACATACACTGGTCGGCGCGGTTAGAGCCGTCAGAGTGTTTTGAGACGCCTCAAAACACTTCTTCAAACTCATTGCACATACACTGGTCAGCGCGGTTAGAGCCGTCAGAGTGTTTTGAGACGTCTCAAAACACTTCTTCAAACTCATTGCACATACACTGGTCGGCGCGGTTAGAGCCGTCAGAGTGTTTTGAGACGTCTCAAAACACTTCTTCAAACTCATTGCACATACACTGGTCGGCGCGGTTAGAGCCGTCAGAGTGTTTTGAGACGTCTCAAAACACTTCTTCAAACTCATTGCACATACACTGGTCAGCGCGGTTAGAGCCGTCAGAGTGTTTTGAGACGTCTCAAAACACTTCTTCAAACTCATTGCACATACACTGGTCGGCGCGGTTGGAGCCGTCAGAGTGTTTTGAGACGTCTCAAAACACTTCTTCAAACTCATTGCACATACACTGGTCAGCGCGGTTAGAGCCGTCAGAGTGTTTTGAGACGTCTCAAAACACTTCTTCAAACTCATTGCACATACACTGGTCGGCGCGGTTAGAGCCGTCAGAGTGTTTTGAGACGTCTCAAAACACTTCTTCAAACTCATTGCACATACACTGGTCAGCGCGGTTAGAGCCGTCAGAGTGTTTTGAGACGTCTCAAAACACTTCTTCAAACTCATTGCACATACACTGGTCGGCGCGGTTAGAGCCGTCAGAGTGTTTTGAGACGTCTCAAAACACTTCTTCAAACTCATTGCACATACACTGGTCAGCGCGGTTAGAGCCGTCAGAGTGTTTTGAGACGTCTCAAAACACTTCTTCAAACTCATTGCACATACACTGGTCAGCGCGGTTAGAGCCGTCAGAGTGTTTTGAGACGCCTCAAAACACTTCTTCAAATTCATTGCACATACACTGGTCGGCGCGGTTAGAGCCGTCAGAGTGTTTTGAGACGTCTCAAAACACTTCTTCAAACTCATTGCACATACACTGGTCGGCGCGGTTAGAGCCGTCAGAGTGTTTTGAGACGTCTCAAAACACTTCTTCAAACTCATTGCACATACACTGGTCAGCGCGGTTAGAGCCGTCAGAGTGTTTTGAGACGTCTCAAAACACTTCTTCAAACTCATTGCACATACACTGGTCGGCGCGGTTAGAGCCGTCAGAGTGTTTTGAGACGTCTCAAAACACTTCTTCAAACTCATTGCACATACACTGGTCAGCGCGGTTAGAGCCGTCAGAGTGTTTTGAGACGTCTCAAAACACTTCTTCAAACTCATTGCACATACACTGGTCAGCGCGGTTAGAGCCGTCAGAGTGTTTTGAGACGTCTCAAAACACTTCTTCAAACTCATTGCACATACACTGGTCAGCGCGGTTAGAGCCGTCAGAGTGTTTTGAGACGTCTCAAAACACTTCTTCAAACTCATTGCACATACACTGGTCAGCGCGGTTAGAGCCGTCAGAGTGTTTTGAGACGTCTCAAAACACTTCTTCAAATTCATTGCACATACACTGGTCGGCGCGGTTAGAGCCGTCAGAGTGTTTTGAGACGTCTCAAAACACTTCTTCAAACTCATTGCACATACACTGGTCAGCGCGGTTAGAGCCGTCAGAGTGTTTTGAGACGTCTCAAAACACTTCTTCAAACTCATTGCACATACACTGGTCAGCGCGGTTAGAGCCGTCAGAGTGTTTTGAGACGTCTCAAAACACTTCTTCAAATTCATTGCACATACACTGGTCGGCGCGGTTAGAGCCGTCAGAGTGTTTTGAGACGTCTCAAAACACTTCTTCAAACTCATTGCACATACACTGGTCGGCGCGGTTAGAGCCGTCAGAGTGTTTTGAGACGTCTCAAAACACTTCTTCAAATTCATTGCACATACACTGGTCGGCGCGGTTAGAGCCGTCAGAGTGTTTTGAGACGTCTCAAAACACTTCTTCAAACTCATTGCACATACACTGGTCGGCGCGGTTAGAGCCGTCAGAGTGTTTTGAGACGTCTCAAAACACTTCTTCAAACTCATTGCACATACACTGGTCGGCGCGGTTAGAGCCGTCAGAGTGTTTTGAGACGTCTCAAAACACTTCTTCAAACTCATTGCACATACACTGGTCAGCGCGGTTAGAGCCGTCAGAGTGTTTTGAGACGTCTCAAAACACTTCTTCAAACTCATTGCACATACACTGGTCAGCGCGGTTAGAGCCGTCAGAGTGTTTTGAGACGTCTCAAAACACTTCTTCAAACTCATTGCACATACACTGGTCAGCGCGGTTAGAGCCGTCAGAGTGTTTTGAGACGTCTCAAAACACTTCTTCAAACTCATTGCACATACACTGGTCAGCGCGGTTAGAGCCGTCAGAGTGTTTTGAGACGTCTCAAAACACTTCTTCAAACTCATTGCACATACACTGGTCAGCGCGGTTAGAGCCGTCAGAGTGTTTTGAGACGTCTCAAAACACTTCTTCAAACTCATTGCACATACACTGGTCGGCGCGGTTAGAGCCGTCAGAGTGTTTTGAGACGTCTCAAAACACTTCTTCAAACTCATTGCACATACACTGGTCAGCGCGGTTAGAGCCGTCAGAGTGTTTTGAGACGCCTCAAAACACTTCTTCAAATTCATTGCACATACACTGGTCGGCGCGGTTAGAGCCGTCAGAGTGTTTTGAGACGTCTCAAAACACTTCTTCAAACTCATTGCACATACACTGGTCGGCGCGGTTAGAGCCGTCAGAGTGTTTTGAGACGTCTCAAAACACTTCTTCAAACTCATTGCACATACACTGGTCAGCGCGGTTAGAGCCGTCAGAGTGTTTTGAGACGTCTCAAAACACTTCTTCAAACTCATTGCACATACACTGGTCAGCGCGGTTAGAGCCGTCAGAGTGTTTTGAGACGTCTCAAAACACTTCTTCAAACTCATTGCACATACACTGGTCAGCGCGGTTAGAGCCGTCAGAGTGTTTTGAGACGTCTCAAAACACTTCTTCAAACTCATTGCACATACACTGGTCAGCGCGGTTAGAGCCGTCAGAGTGTTTTGAGACGTCTCAAAACACTTCTTCAAATTCATTGCACATACACTGGTCGGCGCGGTTAGAGCCGTCAGAGTGTTTTGAGACGTCTCAAAACACTTCTTCAAACTCATTGCACATACACTGGTCAGCGCGGTTAGAGCCGTCAGAGTGTTTTGAGACGTCTCAAAACACTTCTTCAAACTCATTGCACATACACTGGTCAGCGCGGTTAGAGCCGTCAGAGTGTTTTGAGACGTCTCAAAACACTTCTTCAAATTCATTGCACATACACTGGTCGGCGCGGTTAGAGCCGTCAGAGTGTTTTGAGACGTCTCAAAACACTTCTTCAAACTCATTGCACATACACTGGTCGGCGCGGTTAGAGCCGTCAGAGTGTTTTGAGACGTCTCAAAACACTTCTTCAAATTCATTGCACATACACTGGTCGGCGCGGTTAGAGCCGTCAGAGTGTTTTGAGACGTCTCAAAACACTTCTTCAAACTCATTGCACATACACTGGTCGGCGCGGTTAGAGCCGTCAGAGTGTTTTGAGACGTCTCAAAACACTTCTTCAAACTCATTGCACATACACTGGTCGGCGCGGTTAGAGCCGTCAGAGTGTTTTGAGACGTCTCAAAACACTTCTTCAAACTCATTGCACATACACTGGTCAGCGCGGTTAGAGCCGTCAGAGTGTTTTGAGACGTCTCAAAACACTTCTTCAAACTCATTGCACATACACTGGTCAGCGCGGTTAGAGCCGTCAGAGTGTTTTGAGACGTCTCAAAACACTTCTTCAAACTCATTGCACATACACTGGTCAGCGCGGTTAGAGCCGTCAGAGTGTTTTGAGACGTCTCAAAACACTTCTTCAAACTCATTGCACATACACTGGTCAGCGCGGTTAGAGCCGTCAGAGTGTTTTGAGACGTCTCAAAACACTTCTTCAAACTCATTGCACATACACTGGTCAGCGCGGTTAGAGCCGTCAGAGTGTTTTGAGACGTCTCAAAACACTTCTTCAAACTCATTGCACATACACTGGTCAGCGCGGTTAGAGCCGTCAGAGTGTTTTGAGACGTCTCAAAACACTTCTTCAAACTCATTGCACATACACTGGTCGGCGCGGTTAGAGCCGTCAGAGTGTTTTGAGACGTCTCAAAACACTTCTTCAAACTCATTGCACATACACTGGTCAGCGCGGTTAGAGCCGTCAGAGTGTTTTGAGACGTCTCAAAACACTTCTTCAAACTCATTGCACATACACTGGTCAGCGCGGTTAGAGCCGTCAGAGTGTTTTGAGACGTCTCAAAACACTTCTTCAAACTCATTGCACATACACTGGTCAGCGCGGTTAGAGCCGTCAGAGTGTTTTGAGACGTCTCAAAACACTTCTTCAACATTGCACATACACTGGTCAGCGCGGTTAGAGCCGTCAGAGTTCCCTTGGCGGTAGCTCAAGTAGTAGGCGACGGCGATGAGGGCAACGAGAGCAGTCGTGAAGACTACAATGGTGATTATGCCGGGCACTGGCGTTGACCCTGATGTAATGAGGGAGAGAGGGGGAATAGAGAGCGAAGAGGAGGGAGAGGAGGAGGAGAGGAAGGCAGAGAGGAGAGAGAAGAGGAAGGAAAAGAGGAGGGAGAGGGAGGGAGAGAAGGGGGGGAGGGCGGAGGGGAGGGAGGGAGAGAGGGGACGTACATTGGTCTGGGCGATTGGAGGAGGAGGTTCCAGAGCTCCTCACGTTGCAAATGAAGGCCACTATAACGAGGACGCTGAAGAAGATGACAAAAAAGCCCAGCAGCACATACGCTGCTGCTGGGGAGCCTGGAACCGAATACGTGGAGGAGGAAAGAGGGGTTGGGGGAGAGGAGTGGGGGAGGGGGAAGGGAGGGGAAGGGGCAGGATGGGAGGGAGGGGGAAGAGGGCGAGAGGGGAGATGCAGAGAGCTTTGAAGACTATAAAGAAGCCCCACAGCACAGAACACACGCTGCTGCCGTGGTGGAGCCTGGGAACATAGGGGAAGGAGGCAACATAGGAGGGAGAGGTGAGTGGGGAGAAGGAGAGGGTGAGCCTAAAAATGCTAGAAGATGCTTTTTGAGTCGACTAAAAAAAAATTCCTGTGGTGAGCTTTGAAGATGCTGAGTGAAAGCAAACCGAAAGAAGAGCGGCGCAGCACACTTTGGCTAGCAGGGGAGGAGGGGGAGCAGTAGGGGGAGTAACCGAGGCAGCAGGCACGGCTGGGGGAGGCGACTACTGGGAAGCAGCATTGCATGTTTTTTGAGAATGCTCAAAAAACATACCCCGGCTGGGGGAGACGACTACTGGGAAGCAGCATTGCATATTTTTTTAGAATACTCAAAAAACATACCCTGGCTGGGGGAGGCGACTACTGGGAAGCAGCATTGCTGCCACCGCTGCTGCTGCTACCCCTGAGATGAAAAAGCTGAACGCACCTTGGTTGGCAGGGGGAGGAGGGGGAGGAGCAGAGACTGAAGCAGCAGCAGCCTCAGCGGGAGGAGGATACTCCTGGGAAGCAGCATCGCCGCCACCGCTGCTGCTGCCGTCAGTGGTGGTGCCGTCAGCTGTGGGGGGATTGGCGGTGGTCCCATCAGTGGGGGTTCCGTCAGTGGGGGTCCCGTCCGTTGAAGGGGGGGTTCCGTCTGTGGAGGGAGGAGTGGTGGTGGGAGCGGCGCAGACGTCCTGTTGGTCCGGCACGTTGTCAAGGCAGTTGCCGTTGTACTCAAACTTGACAGCGTTGGTGCTGGTGACATCCGGGACTGGGCCTGTAAGCAGGTTCATAGACAAGGTTCTGCAATGGTGGGAGAGGGAGGGGAGAGCGAGGCAGGGAGGGAAAGAAGGCACGTTGTCAAGGCAGTTGCCGTTGTACTCGAAGTTCACAGCGTTGGTGCTGGAGACGTCTGGGAGTGAGATGGTCAGCAGGTTCATAGAGAGAGTGGTGTGTTCAGGGGGAGAGAGTGGTGTGTTCAGGGGGAGAGAGTGGTGTGTTCAGGGGGAGAGAGTGGTGTGTTCAGGGGGAGAGAGTGGTGTGTTCAGGGGGAGAGAGTGGTGTGTTCAGGGGGAGAGAGTGGTGTGTTCAGGGGGAGAGAGTGGTGTGTTCAGGGGGAGAGAGTGGTGTGTTCAGGGGGAGAGAGTGCTGTGTTGCAGGAACTCACAGCGTGGCTAAGCGCGGCAGCTGTGTCAGGCAAGCGGGAATGGTCCCCTGCAGCTGGTTCCTGGCCAGGTTGAGGTCATAAATATTAGTCAGCTGGCAGAGCTCCGTAGGAATTTGCCCCGAGAGCATGTTGCGGTTGAGGAAGAGCTTGTTGAGCGTCACGAGCTTGAGGGTCTCGAGCTGCTCTTGTAGTCGAGGAATACTGTGTCTCTGCTTTCAGTCCGTGCCCTCAGGACAGGACCTTCACACGCTCATACGCTACTCACAGGGTGGCTAGGTGCAGCAGCTGTGTCAGACACGCAGGAACGGTCCCCTGCAGCTGGTTCCTCGCCAAATACAGATCATAAATGTTGGTGAGTTGACAGAGCTCTGTAGGAATTTGCCCCGAGAGCATGTTGTGGTTTGAGGAAGAGCTTGTTGAGCGTCACGAGCTTGAGAGTCACGAGCTGCCCCAGCGAGGGCGGGAGGTAGCCCCTGAACTGGCAGGCAGCGCTCCGTGGGGATGTATGGTGAGATGAGAGTGATGGATCGACTCACAGTGTTGCTAGGTGCGGCAGTTGTGCCAAGCACGCGGGAATGCCCCCCTGAAGCTGGTTCCGGGCCAGATTCAGGTCGTAGATGTTGGTGAGTTGACAGAGCTCCACGGGAATGGCCCCCGAGAGCATGTTGTGGTTGAGGAAGAGCTTGTTGAGCGTCACGAGCTGACCCAGGGAGGGCGGGATGTCCCCCGTGAGCTGGTTGTTGTCGAGGAAGATCTCGACTATGTTCTGCAGCTCGCCCAGGTTGGCTGGGATGGGGCCGGTTAAGTCACAATACTCAAAGGCTCTGCGGGTAGTGAGGGAGAAGGGGAGGAAAAGGAAGGAATGGGATGGGATGGGAAGGGATGGAAGAGAGGGAATCAGGGGGGGATGTCCCCCGTGAGCTGGTTGTTGTCGAGGAAGATCTCCACTATGTTCTGCAGCTCGCCCAGGTTGGCTGGGATGGGGCCGGTTAAGTCACAATACTCAAAGGCTTTGTGGTTGAAGGGTAGGGATAAAGGGGAGCAAGGGAGCAAGGGAGAGAGGGAGGGACGGAGGGGAAAGGAAGGACAGAGGGATGTCCCCCGTGAGGTGGTTGTTGTCGAGAATTATCTCGACTATGTTCTGCAGCTCGCCCAGGTTGGGGGGAATGGGGCCTGTCAGATCGCAGTACTCAAAGGCTCTGTGAGTGTGTGTGGGAGGAAGGGAGGGAGGGAGGGAGGGAGGGAGGAAAGAGACTCACATTCACTGCATTGACTCATGTTGACTGCATGCATTGACTCACGTTGACTGCATTGACTCACGTTGACTGCATTGACTCACGTTGACTGCATTGACTCACACATGTTGAATGCGTTGACTAGCGTTGGCTGCATTGACTCACTCACATGGACTGGATGCGTGCCATTTTCCCTAGAAACTCTGGGATAGTGCCGTTTATACCCTCGTTGTAGCTCACGTCCCTGCAGGCAAGAAGAGGGGAGAGGAGGACAAGAGAGGGAGACGGAGAAGGATCAGTTGAGAGGGGAAGGAGGGCAGGGTTGGGTATAAGGTGGGAATTCAAACCCTTGTTGTAGCTCACGTCCCTGCAGGCAAGAAGAGGGGAGAGGAGGACGAGAGAAGGAGAGGGAGAGGGAGAGGGAGAGGGAGAGGGAGATAAATGGGAAAGGTAGACGGAGATTTAAGTGCATGGCAGCGCACACGGGTACATGAGTGATTCGAGCATGCTGTATGCAGACTGGAGGAAATGTGAGAAGTCAGTTTTTGAGTCGACTAAAAAATCATGCTGAATGTAGGCTGGGGGAAATGTGAGAAAACGTGAGGCCGCCTCAAAGAACGTGTAAAACTAGGGAGGGCATAGGCGGAGAGCTGTACAAGCAGGGAAGCACTCGCAGGTAAGTGCATGGCTGAATTCACAAGGGGGTGTCCATCCGTTGAAGTGCAGAGCAGCAAGAGGGAGAGAGCAGCAATAGGTTAGTCTCAACAGTCCATTCATGCCTTACACTTGCTGTACCGTTTATTATATTCAATAAGGACCGTTAGAGAGAGAGCAGCACAGTACGCACAGGTACATGAGCGACTCGAGCTTGCTGTAGGGGTCTGGGATGGGCCCCTCCAGTGCACAGCACAGCAGCTAACAGAGGTATGTGAGTAGGTGGTCTACCCAAGTGCAGCGTGGCAAGAGGGAGAGAGCAGCACGCACAGGTACATGAGCGACTCGAGCTTGCTGTATGAGTCCGGAATGGGGCCTTCCAGCTTGTTGTTCGCCACATAGCTGCCATGAAGGGGAGGGCATGGGGGGGAGGGCATGTGGGGGAGGGCATGGGGGGGAGGGCATGGCAGGGAGGGCATGGCAGGGAGGGCATGGCAGGGAGATATGGGGAGGATTCTTAAGTGCATGTGTAGGAGTCCAGTATGGGCCCCTCCAGCTTGTTTTTCGCCACATAGCTGCCATGTGGGGCAAGAGGAGGGCATGGGGGTGAGGGAATGGGAAGAGCGCATTGGGAGGACTCTTGAGCGCATGTGTGTATGAGTCCGGGATGGGGCCTTCCAGGTTGTTGTTCGCCACATAGCTGCCATGCGGGGGAGGGCATGTGGGAGGAAGAGAGGGCATGGGGGAGAGGGCATGTTGGTGGGAGAAGTCGGAGGGAGGGAAAGGAAGAGAGGGGTGTGATGGAAGCGGGGATAGGGGTGTGATGGAAGCGGGGATAGGGAATTCAGGAGAGCAACAGAACAGACACACAGGGATGAGAGAGAAAACGACTAGGAAAAACAAACACAAAGGAGATGGGTTCTTCGAGTATGTGCTGTAAAACGCATTCGATCCCAATGCGCAACAGATTCTCTCACATGGCGGATAATTTGGGTAGGTCCCCTAGCTCGGGGGGGGAGCAGCCCTGAGAGCTGGTTGTCGTCCATGGCACTGAGGGGTAGGGGAGGAGGAGAGAGAGCACATATGGGGGAGTGGGGCCAGAACGCAAAGAGTGAGGTGGATAGATTGGGTAGGTCGCCTAGCTCGGGGGGTAGCAGCCCTGAGAGCTGATTGTCGTCCATGGCACTAACGGGGGAAGGGGGGGGAGAGAAGAGAGAGAGAAGGCAAAGAAAAGGGGTTGAGGGGGAGAAGAAGGTGGGAAGAGAGAGAGGGAAAAAAGGGGGGGGGTTGATGGGTGAGGGGAAAAAGGAGGGGAGTGTGAGGGGAAAGGAGCAGCCCCGAAGTATACTAGAGATGCGAGTATGGAGAGAGTATATGGGTGGAGCTTACATGGAGTGGAGGGACACTGCAAGGGCCAGCTGGGAGGGGATGGGGCCTGAGAGCCCGTTGGTGTACATCTCCCTGCATAGGTGCACAGGAGCACGAGGGAGGGCACAGGAGCACGAGGGAGGGCACAGGAGCACGAGGGAGGGCACAGGAGCACGAGGGAGGGCACAGGAGCACGAGGGAGGGCACAGGAGCACGAGGGAGGGCACAGGAGCACGAGGGAGGGCACAGGAGCACGAGGGAGGGCACAGGAGCACGAGGGCACAGGAGCACGAGGGAGGGCACAGGAGCACGAGGGCACAGGAGCACGAGGGAGGGCACAGGAGCACGAGGGCACAGGAGGACAGAGGGACAGACATGGCTTGGGATGGCAGGCAGGCAGACAGCAGGAAAGGGGGATGGGGCCTGGCCTGAGAGCCCGTTGGTGTACATCTCGGGACTCGGGGTTTACAGCGCAAAGTTGGTGTGCAAAGTGACAGCGCTTACAGGACTTCAAGCTGCTTGAGGTTCCCTAGCCACTCCGGGATGGGACCCGACAGCTGATTGGCTGGAAAAGAGCTGCAAGGAGCAAGAAGTGAGCGGGAAGGGAGAGAAGGAGGAGGGTGATGCGGTTGGGGGTGGGGGGAAAGTGGAGGAAATAAGGAGAAGGGATATGAGGGCGTGGAAGGGAGAATAGAATCAAGGATTCAAGTTTATGCAAAAAACAAGAGTGAAGGTTTCTGGCAGTGAGCTTACATGAGTCTGAGGTTACTGCAGTAGGCTAGCTGTGGTGGTAGCTCGCCCGATAACTTGTTGCTGCCCATGTCCCTGGAGGGAAGGGGGAAGAGAGCGGGGGAAGAGGACAAAGGGGGGGAATGGGTGGGTGGAGAGGTGGTGGGTGAAAAAAAACGGCTAGCTGTGGAGGTAACTTGCGCGATTTCTTGTTGCCGCCCATGACCTCTGCAGAGAGAAGGAAAGGGGAAGAGGAACGGGGAGGAGAACGGGTGGGTGGGGAAATAGGGGCTAGCTGTGGTGGTAGCTCGCCCGATATCTTATCGCTGCCCATGTCCCTGCAGGGAGGGGAGAGGAGAGAGGGGAGAGGGGAGGAGGGAGTGGTGGGTGGGATGGTGGGGAGGAGAAAGAGGTATGTGCCTACGAGAGGGAACAGGGCGACGGGACAGACAAGGGAGAGTTGAACGTAGGGGAGGGGGAGGCAGTGAGAAGAGAGCTGATACGAAGCGAGCCTTACAGGGTGGTTAGATTCCGGAGGGTGCCGAGGCTTCTAGGCAGAGAGCCGTTGAACTGGTTGTTGGCGAAGCGACTGGTGGGGGAGGGGAGGAGGGGGAGGGGGAGGGGGAGGGGGAAACACGAGCAGACTGAAACGGTTGATACGCGACGGAGGAGGAGGGGGTGGAGAGGCTTTTAGGCAGAGGCCCGTTGAACTGGTTGTTGGCGAAGCGACTGGTGGGGGAGGGGAGGAGGGGAAGGAAGAGACACGAGCAGAATGTTGAGCAGCACACAAAGAGTGAGGGAAGCACAGACAGAGGAAGAAACACACACAGAGGCAGCAGCACATACAATTCAAAAAGCTACGCACATTTCAATGAGCCGTGAGAGCAGTGGCGCCATCCAGTCCGGGATAGGCCCCTCCAGCTGATTCGCCTCAAACGACCTGACCACAAGAAGATGCACGCATGCACGCACACATGTACACACATGGGAATGCACAGGCACACATGAAAGCCCATTCACATGTATGATGAGAGTATATGTGTAATCATGTGTATGCCAACGTGCTAGTCTTGGCTTTTCTTGGTGACAGACAGCCATGACTGAAAAGGCAGTTTCAGCAGATAGTGTGTGTGCAACAAATAAGCATTCTGCACCTACCAGGAAGATGAGAATGTAGCCATAGAAGAAGCGCCTTAAAAAGAGATGCAAGGCGCTGTAAGAATGGGAGCTGAGAAAAAGGGCCCTTACGAGAGGGGCCATAAGGCAATTTTATGAGTGGAGTGGATGGGATGGGATGGGATGGGATGGGACTAACAGGAAAGTGAGGCCGTTGAGAGAGCCAAGGTCCTTGGGAATGGGGCCAGTCAGAGAGTTGTACCCCAAATTTCTGCAGTGAAAACAGGAGAAAGGCAGGAGGGACAGGGTCTAGTGTTTTAAGGAGCAAAGGAGAATAAGGCAGTAAGGGTTGATACTCATAGTAGTCACTCTGGTACGCAGGCCTCTCCAACCTCTCTGGCTACTTCGCTACCTCCCTCTCTCTGCACTCACTACTAGCTTGATATTGCCAATCCAAAGAACTCATTTTCCTGCAATTTACACGCCCTTCTCGTTTCCAAGCATGTTCAGAAGAGAAGAAACACAAGGCGCAAGCAACCCCAATGGATACTGACCTGCATTTGAACACCACCTGCCTGTCCCCTCAAAACCCAGAACCTCCGCCTCAAACCCTAACTCGCAGCCTCCATAAAGCAATGCATCAAAGTCAAGTCGTAACCCAGCGCATCAACCCCCGTAAAAGTGAAAAGTTTCTCCGGCCTAAAACCTAACGCGTGCCACCAGGCACTGGCTAAAGGAAACTAATTTTGCCAAAATCCGAACCTCTGGGCTGAACCACATGATAATGTATCGGTTTTGAAATGTCGAAAAACCAAATTATTACTACCCTAAGGCCTAAGGTGCCACCAGGCAGGCACTGGCTAGATGTGAAGCTCAGCGTGCCAAGAATCGAGCCCCTAGCCTGAAGCTCTTCAGTCTTGAAGCTCCCCCAGCCCCAAACCCTAATCTCCCTGCTGGCCGCCCCACGAACCCAAAGCAGTAGACAACCCTAATTCCACATCTTCCACCACCAGGCAGTGATGACTTAACGAAACCCTATCGGGCCAAGACTCGAACCCCTGGCTTGAAGCTCTTCAAGTCTTGGAGCTCCAGCCTCAGACCCTACTGCTGCAGCAGAACCCAAACTCTGTTCTCTCACCCTGCCTGCTGCTGCAGAACCCAAAGCCTCGAACCCGACTCTCCTTAAGACAAAAGCGTGCGCTACTCACAGGCGCTCTAATGCATCCAGCTGCGCCAGCTGTCGGCCTGGGATTGGCCCTTTGAGCAGCTCGTTGGCGAGATTGCTGCACGTGGGAAAGGGGAAGCAGAATGGGGGGTGAATTGGAGACAAGGAGCAGGTGAAGCACGAATAAGGGGCACTACACCAGGGATGGCAGCATCTGGGAACGAGTTCTGAGAAGCCTCACGAGTTCCAAGGGCCATCAGTAGGGAACACGTTGATTGGACGGAAGGATGAGCATCCAGCCGGGCCAGCTGTCATCCTGGGATTGGCTCTTTCAGGAGCTCGTTCGCCAGATGATAGCACGGGCAAAAAAAGTGATAGCAGGAGGGGGAAGGGAGATAGCAGAGCCCCACACCACAGCCCCCCTTTCAACAATCCAATGTGCCTACAGTTTGATAATCCGGCCATGCTCGTTGCACTTGATTCTCTCCTGCCACTCTGCACTGCACGGTCGATGTCATCTGGGAAGGACTGCAGTGAGTCGCTCCTTTCTCCCCACGCCCCCCCCCCTCTCTTTTCAACCCAACGTGTTCGCAACTCAATGACTCGGCCATGCTTGTTGCGCTTTTTCCTCTCCTGCCACTCTTGAGTCGACTCAAAAGTCAACTTGTTGCGCTTTTTCCTCTCCTGCCACTCTGCGCTGCACAGGTCGATGTCGTCTGGGAAGGACTGCAGTCACTCACACCACACCATCCCTCTTCCCCTCCCTCCACCCCCTCTTCCCCCTCAACCCAACATGGTCAGTGCTCACAGCTCTATGATCCGGCCATGCTCGTTGCACTTGATCCTCTCCTGCCACTCCGCGCTGCACGGGTCGATGTCGTCTGGGAAGGACTGCAACGCCGCGGGGTTTGACGCCATGAACGCCGCTTTGAGGTTCAACAGCTCCTCCGCTGCACAAGTGATGGGAGGAGGGGGGGAAACGCAAGGAGTAGGGGGTTAGGGCTCTACATGGGTCGATGTCGTCTGGGAAGGACTGCAGCGCCACGGAGTTTGACGCCATTAATGCCGCCTTGAGGTTCAACAGCTCCTCCGCTGCATGAGAGTGAGGGGTGGGTGGGGGTGGGGGTGGGAGGTGGGAGGTGGAAGAGGAACCATTGGTGGGGGAATGGATGAGGAGGGAGGGTGTAGGGGTTGGGAAACTGGACGGATGACTGGTCTATGTTGTGTGCGGCGCCGCGGGGTTTGACGCCATGAACGCAGCCTTGATGTTCAACAGCTCCTCCGCTGCATGAGAGGGGGAGGAGGAGGTGGGGGGGGGGGGGGGGGGGGAGGGGGGGAGGGGGGGAGAGGGGTGGTGGGAAAGCGGGAAAGGGGAGGGGTGGAAGAGGCGGCGGTGAGGGGAGGAGGTGGGGGATGGTAGAGGAGGTGGGGGATGGTAGAGGAGGTGGGGGGTGGTAGAAAGGAAATGTGTTAAGGGTACACTGACTGCTGTTTCATCATGATACGGTGCCATGGTGCCACGCGATGCTGTCATGTTCCTATTTATGGACAGTACATGAACTTTGGAAAGCAGGAATTGCTGTCGTTGCTTATAGCGAGTACAGCAGGGAAGGGTTTTTTTTGGCGCTTAAACAAACAGCTGTCACGTCCCTACATACGGATACATGGAAAATCGGACTCACTGTCAGGGCTTGCAGCGAGTGTTGCAGGGACGAAGGCGAGTGCGGTTAACCACGTCACGACCCATAGGGCCATCAGCATCACATGCGCTGATGCCATCGCCGTAGATGGCTTTTGACGGAAGTGATGCGTTCTGTTTCGTTCTTGTGTCGATGATGACTGTAACGCGGACGTCGGATGTGAGGATAGGATCCGCCCAGTTATTGCGCCCGCCATCGGCATAAATAGGAATTTTGTGTGGGTCAGTCTACGGAGGAGGATAACGCAAATTCAGGCGAAATCGGACGTCTGCAGGTAAGAAAAATGCATGAAATTAGGATGATGAACGGGATCCGAGGATTCGTCGAAAGACCCGCTAACGAAAGAGCACCTAAAAGGATGGCAAGAACGGGATCCGAGGATTCGTCGAAAGACCCGCTAACGAAAGAGCACCTAAAAGGATGGCAAAAATTCATTCCGTCAAATGGAGCTGAGTTCAAATGTGACTCAAAACGGGATGTTGTGTAACATTCTTTTTCATTATATTTATTATTATTATCTTCTTTCGATGCCACCGCACGAAACGCAAAGACGACGCGAGCTGTAAATAGCATGGGATGGGAATGTGCGGAGTGCGAGCATTATTGCTTGTAAATTTTAGGTTTGCAGACAAAACGGATCCATTCCAAAGCTGGGAGTCATGCTCAAAATACATCATATACATTGAATGCAGCTTTGGTCAAGCAGTAAAGAACACGATTTCAATCATGCAACAATGAACGCTGGACATGCGTTGCGGCGTTTATCAGCAGGATACTGAATCTGCCACGGTCGAGTGTAGTTTATTTTGCTTTCTGTTTATGTTGCTTGCCTGCTAGAGGTTTGAAGACAGGTCTTAAAGACGGGAAGCGCGAAGAAGCTTACCTGGCTAATGTTGTCTCATGCGGGACTCCGGAAAGGCGGCATTAGGCGACACGGCGAGGAAACTATGACGGCCAGGAAACCCGCATTGAATAATTTGACGGCTACCGACTTTCAACGTCATACGACGCTAACTCGGAGAACGAAATGCAGCGAATAGCTGGAGCCTACAACGTAATGCGACCGAAACGAGCGGAAATGAGACTCCAATGCGGATACTTGTGACGGCATCAGACTTCTAAAAGGAGGGAATGCAGTCTATCCTAACGAACAACCACACTACACGCGTACAGAAGATGGGATTGAGAAAGAAACCAGATAGGCTACTTGAGCCCCTAATCAGCTCGAATGAAAGCTCATTGCTTCGACTGCCGCTCCAGCCACAACCAAAGCACCCACCACTTATCCGAGGTACAATGCAGATATGGCTGAACAACATCCAAATTCCTTATGATGAATTTTCGTCCTCGTTGACATTTTACGGTTTCGACTTGGAAGTTTGCTTCAGAAACTAACTAACCATTTCAAAACTGAGCCAACCTTTTCCGCCACCAAATTTATCCAAACCAACCACTTTGAGAACACCTTTCTTGATAGGCGTTGAGGCGCCACCTCAGCGCCACCAACCAGCCATCAGCAGCAGTCGCCAAAATCCCACCCAAGGATGATGGGGTGAGGTGAGGTGAGGTGAGGAGCCAAGCTACGCTGTCGGGCCAAGTGGTTGGGCGGAAAGAGCGCAAAAACGCAAGGGCTGTGCTGTGGTGTGGCGGCGGATTCATCTTTCTGCCCCTGCACAACAAAACATTTACTGTACCTCACTGTTTGTGTGTTCAAGGGAGGAGCAGTGCTGTGCTGTGGCTGCGAGACGATCTGGTTGAGTTTGAGTCGGTTCAGTTCGGTTCGGACGCTGGGTGGAGTGTGGGGCGTTTGGGGCGGTGTACTTTGTCAATGGAGTGCTGATGTGGGCAGCCTAACGACATTTCTGGTCTCCAAACCGTGGAACTGGTCTGGCGCAATCGACATCGGTGTACCGTACTGTACCATGTAACTTCTAAACGGTTTTTATATACACCCTCATTCTCGTTAGACTGGAATATGCTATACTGACCGAGACGCTTAGTGTAGCCGCAGCGGACCAAAGAAAGTCCTATCACATGCGTTATACTGACAGTTTGACCCAGGGCGTTTAGTCAAGTTTCTATACGTTCTAAAATGGTACTGCTGTTTTGTAAACGGTTAAGAGCGTTAACGGAATTTTACGGCCCAAGTCTGGTTTCGTCGCCTCGTGCGACTTGGCCCGCAACCGACTTATCTCACCAGCCCGCTACGTCCAAACACTGTAGCCACTGCTTCCGCCGGTGAGAAGACTGAGAACAAGGGTGTACTGCAGGTTCGGCTGACTGTGATTGGGCCAGACACGACCCCCACCCCCCCCCCCCCCCCCACCCCCCCCACCCCCCCCCCCCCCCCCCCCCCCCCCCCCGTTTTTTCTGAACAAGGCAAGCTGGCAAATAGCTGTCAAGCTCGTCGATATTGCGTATTTCACTATCTACATTATTATTTGCCTTGGACATAACTATTGTCACTCTCCTAGTGTTAGCATAACACTTGGTAACAGAGGTGGTTGCAGGCCCCAGAACACGTCAGATCGTCTCAAATGAGGTGTGAAAAGCAAAAGTTGGGACCTAAATTGCCAGCAGCAGGACCTGTCATCCCACCGCAAGCTAAGCAACCAATCCGATGTCGCCAAGCAAGGAGCAGTGTCCACGGACTCAGCGAACCAAGTTTCCCGCCAAACCACTGAATAAAAAATCCGCTCAAATGGCATTGTGGCCGAACCTAATTACGCTGCCCCAGACCTGGGTGGCCCAAGCAACCCAGGCCTTGACAAAGCACCAACACAATACTGAAGCGAGCAATTTCCATCACAGCAGCAATTCTCAAATGCAGCAAAAATAGTCCAAAAATAGTGAACACCAAATTCCTCCTAACTCACAGGGAGCTGTGCGCGGGATATGTGCGTGCTAACAGTCGGGCACCGGATTCGAAGAGGGATCAGAACACTACTGTACCTTGACATTGCTGTTAGCGACCATTTTCGACTGGACAGGTCACTTGATCCGTAGTTAGATATTCTCGTCTGTGACCCGTCATTGGCTCACAACTACAGAGAAGCTACGTCTGACATAGTTAGAGTATCATTGGCGACCCTACAAAGTTGAAAAGGTTCATTTCAGTAACTTCGTGCCATGGCGTTGCAGAATCTTCCGCGAAGCTCGCTCCCACTCGCGTCGAAGCCGGTCATTGACATTTTGAGATGCCTCGCTTACCCACTGCTATCCCACGCACTCAACCACGTATCATCTCCTGCTTTTCCGATCTCCGCGACAACAGCACGGGATGACCAAAGAAATGCGAGGGGTCCTGGAACAACCACTGATGCGCCACTTGATGTAATTGCAGTTGGCATGGCCACACGTGTTTCAGAAATACTTAGCGAAGCTGGACCAGCGAGCCGCGAGTCGAGAGGCGAAACCCGCCGAGTCGAAACACCGCCATTCGAGAAGCCTACATATGAGCCCGTAGGGTTGACGATGCGGGAAGTTCTTGACGCGAGATCCGTCGACGCGAGACCGCCTACTCGGTCGTTCTCGGCTGCCGCTGATTCCGTGATCAAGAGCTTGATCGAAACACAGCAGTTCTCAGGATCGCGTCGGCATCTTAAGTACCATCAAAACAGTCAGTATCAGCAACAGATGTACCGGCACTACCACCACCAATCTCGACAGTACCAACAACTTCAAGCCTTGGGAATACCGGCAGCAGCCGCACCAAGGCCAGCAGCAGCAGCTGTTTCAGGAATTCGGCGTTTCTCCCTGCCGTACCCGCGAGGTCCGGGAGGCTGGTCGCAGAACAAAGCGTCGGCGTTTAACAAAGCGTCGTTTTACGACGTGACGGTGGAGAAATACGCGGCGCTGCCGATGACAGCGACGACGATGCAGCACATGATGCAGTTCGGAGAGCAGGTTCTCAAAGACCCCTCCTATCTCCTCCGCCAGGCCAGGTAACACTCCTCCTCCCTCCACACAACCACCCTCCCCCACTGGATAAGTAATCAGTGTTATTTCGCCCGTTTCCCTTCTTTCTCCATGTCTGTGCACCGTGAGCTGCTAGCCCCCCTGTCATGCAAGGACCGTCCCTTTGCCTATCCGTCCCTGGCCAAGCAATAAGTGCTCCTTTTGCTGTTTTTTGTTTTTTGTTTTTTTTTATGTGTTTTATTTGTTTGTTTGTTTGTCTGTTTGTTTTCGGCTGTCATTCTCCAGGTTTGTGCACCGCGAGCTGCCCATCCGGCTGGCCAAGCGCCTCATGGATCTTCAATTCCTGCCTTACATCGTCGTCACCAACCCACACATCAAGCAGGTGCCACGTCATCATTTTGTAGATGCCACGTCAGCGTGGCCAACCGCCTCATTGTCCTGACTTGTCCGTTTTTCTCCCCTCATCTGCCTCCTCTCCTCTCACCCCTCTCCGCATATTCCCCTCTCAGGTCTATGACTCTTACTTCAGGGCGCTAGACCTGCTGGTTGCATTCCCTGGGGTGTGGACGCACAAGAACTGATTTTCCCGTCTCTTCCCCTCATGTGCCTCCTCTTCTCCTCCTCTCTCCTCATACCCCCCTCTCAGGTCTATGACTCGTACCGCAGGGCGCTGGACCTGCTGGTTGTATTCCCTGGGGTGGGGACACACAAGAACTTATTTTCTCGTCTCTTTTCCTCCCCCCATCTATCTCCTCTCCTCTCTCCCCTCTCCTCGTACCCCCCTCACTCCAGGTCTATGACTCGTACCGCAGAGCGCTGGACCTGCTGGTTGCGTTTCCTGAGGTGCGGACGCATGAGGACAATGAGAAGTTCACGGAGCTGCTGGCACTGGTGAGAGATGGGTGGAGAGTGGTGGAGGGTGGTGGAAGATGGTTGATGGGTGATGGAAGGGGGTGTTTGCATGTCAATGTATCCTGTGACGCATGAGGACAATGATAAGCTCACCGAGCTGCTGGCGCTGGTGAGTAATGGGTGATGATGGGTGATAGGCGATTTTGAGTGTGTTGGCCCACGGGCGGGGTGAGAGAGCCTTCTCTTCTACCGTTCACAACCTTTCCCCTTTTCCTCATCACTCAATTCATCAGCTAGTCCGCGGGGTGA